GAGAGACACACCTCTGGGCAGGGGTAGGGAGGGCATTCCTAGGAAAGATATTTGAGGGGAGAGGAGCCCCCCCCCCAGTCCACAGGAGAAACCTTGCTTGCGCCTGCCTGCCCTTGCTTCCCGGGAGTCATTGCTTCTATCTCTGCTGCGGTTGGCATCCTTACTGACATTAGACTCATTTCTTCAGGCCCCAATATGGACTAGAGACCAGTGCCTCTTCCAGAATCCTCCAGGCTGTTAGCTCCAGACTGAGACTGTAGAGCACCCCGCTTTGTGGACTGAAAGCCTGCTGGTGTCTCGGCCTCTCTGGCATGCAGGCGAACAGTGCTGGTTGACCCAACCTCTACAGTAGAAGATAATTTGACCCCTCCCCCCATTATAATGTGTTTCTGTTCCTCTGGAGAACCCTTACCAATACACAAAGGATCGGCCGATCAGGAATTTGGATGCCCTGGCAATGTCAAAGGCTGAAAGGTTTCTAGACACCTACTGAGGACCGTCTACACCACCTGTTGACGTTTTTGAGTGTCACTATTGCTGAGTGGTATACATTCCATCTTCAGAGCTGCCCTCTCAGTTAAAAACACTATCCCATTCCAACTTTATAGAAACTGGAAGCATGCGTGGTGTGTTTGCCAAGTTCAAGAGTGCACAGGCAGGCAGCAGGTAGAACTCAGACGGAAACCCAGACACCCAACACACGAAGTGCTAGATTTGAAACCAGGGAGCTCAACTTTCTGGCTCACATGTCTCGTTTTCACCATTAAGTTCAGCCAGAAACATAAGATTAAGTCTTTCCTTTTCCATTTCCCAAGTTACCTTCATCCACACCTACCTTGGTGGGAGAGAGAGAGAGCCCTCTTCCCATCCAAGGGTCATGCAATGACCTCTGAATTCTATCTTTTGTGCTTTCCTGAGTGCGCTTAGTCTGTCAGCCATTCCAACGAAAGACGGATATTCACGTGCAGGAATAATTAGGTCCGTTCTGAAGGTGAAGAAATTGGGAATATCCAGAGACTTAAACATGGAACAACATCTCACCTTTCGGAGAACAGTCCCAGCTCATGGCCTTGATACTGTGTTTGGAATAAGGGCCACTTGAGTCATTCCGTTTCTGAAACCCCACACTCTGAGTAATAAAATCTTCTGTTACTAGAAAATCCTGTTACTGGAGTGACAGAGGTAGAATTGGTACCCAGACCTGTGTGTTTGACCTCAAAACCATGAGCCTGTTACCACAGGTTACCCCTTAAAACTCAGAATTACAAAGTTTAGAAGCCAGCCATTGCTTTCCATTCAGCAAATATTTGTCATCTTGTATTTCTGGGGGACAGCTACATGCAATGACCGATGAAGGTTTAAAGGTTCACCTATTTCACACATGAAGACAACTCTTGTATACCGTTTTAGCTTTGTCTCGTCTCGTGGTGTGCGTGTTGAAGGTAAGGTCATCTGGTTAAGCCTCCAGCTCAGTTTCCCCCTCTGGCCAATCAGGAGCCTTCTCTCTTGACACTACAAGTATGGACCCTGAGGGCATGTGTAACTATACCAGGGAACATCCCCAACACTAAAATCCATACTCAGGGAAGATTTTTATTGGCAAATCATGCTGGTTTCTACATCTTAGAAGATGGGACACAAGCGCTGTGCACGAGGGCATGATCAGCTTCTGGGCTACACATCTTTGGCTAATAGGTCTAGCGTGACCTTTCAAATACATAGACCACATGGGTTAGGTTAGGGCAAGTGCAGACCCTGGCTTGCTGCAGGCTACAAGATAAGCCCAGAACAGACTTGCATTTTAAGAACTCAGGGGAGATCGCTTCCAGCTGCAGATGACTCACTCCTACTGCACCCAGGCAGGCCTCTTTGTCAGAAGACTCAGGTGCTGAAGCTGAGATTCCAAAAGATAGCAGCAAACACGACTCTGCTCACCCGGCTGTGGGGTATTGAATATTAAAGGCACTGAGAGCATGAAGCCTTATGAGTTATTCTAAACACTACTCAGACCAACCGCCCTGACACACGGTAGGGGGAAGACCAAGTATTCTAAAGGCCCCTTTGTTTTATTTATTATTACGTGTTGGATCCCCTGGGACTGTAGTTGCAGGTGACTGTGAGCTCCTGTGTGTGGGCTGGGAGTTGAACCCGGGTCCTGTGGGAAAGCAGCTACTGCTCTTAACCATTGAGCCATCTCTCCAGCCCCTCAAAGCTTCCTTTGTGTCTCATCGGACTGCCAGCAGCTTCAGCTTCCTAAAGCGCCACTCCAGTTTAGTTATGACTATTTCTGGATCCATAAGTCTTTCAGGTCTGACATCTTTGAAATGAGACCACGCTTATAAAATGCATGTGTTGTGCTGTACGTTGTTTGTGTTGCTGTATTCTAGCACCTGCTCCTTGTGCTGCTAATGAGAATTTCGGTTATTTACGGGCTGCGATACTTGGAGCTATGTTCCCAATGGCACCCCGCATACTTCTTAGTGCCTATGTTCCCACACTGGGGAAAGAAATCACAGGGCCTTTAGCGCCAGCGAAGGTCACCAAGATACATTTCTAAAATACCCACTCACTTGTGTGTGTTATGTGCATGTCTATGTCTCCGCATGTGCAATACGGAGGTGAGGATGGCGACTTTCAGGAGCTGGCTCTCCCTTTTCACAGTCTGGGTACCAGGAATCAAACTCGGGTTGTCAGACCTGGCAGCAAGTGCCATTACCCTGTGAGCCATCTCGCTGGCCCAAAGTTGGTTTGATTTTCATAAAGTTGCTCATGCTGTATGATCAGAGCATTCCTGTTGCTCCGTTGGCGATTAATGGCTGCTAGCCTCAGGTTTTTGCCCCCGCCTCCACCCCCCACCAACTTAGTGAAGCATCTGTTCACGCCTCTTGCTCAGCTCCCATTGGACCCTGAGATTTCCCCAAGGAGCCACAGGATTTTAAGGTCCTAAGGCATCAGTTCTGAGACATTTTTTTTTTCTGAATTGGAATGATGCCGAGGCCCCATAAAATCAGATCATGTTTCCCCCGTAGTACAGGTTCGCTTCTAGCAGATCTCAGGGAAGCGGAAGCATCTTGCTTTCACAGGCTCCCAGGTGAAGTTGCTAGTCAAGGTTACGCTCACTGAGAACCAACATCCAACAGTGCTCTAGAGGAGAAAGTCACCTTAAAAATACTAAACCCATGCCCACCTGATGCTCATTCGAGCCTGGGGACGTAAGCTAACACTCTCCCTTCTAAAAAGGAGTTACTGCATACCCTCAGCAGCTTCAGGAGCACCTCCACTCAGAATGTCTGGTACCCAAATGGCCAAGAGGATACAGGTGGCGATGGAAGGTGCTATTTGATCTTGCAAAAGCTCCCTGACTTTCATCAGCAAGGACACGAGTCAGTTTATAATCCCTCAAAGAATAAACAGATCTTTGGATGGAGATGAAAACTGCCATTTATTTCAGTTGAATATGGTTTGTCCTGTGATGGTGTCAAAACAGAAACGGAATAGAAACAGGTTTGTATGACTTGCCTTTAATTTCTAAAGACCAAATAACATATATACATCTAAAACATTCCTAAATATTCAAACAGACCTTACTATTGTCATTGTTGCATCTCAGTCTCTTCAGATTCTAACCGTGCCCACTAATGAACGGATGGACATCACTTATTGAATTAAGCATTATTACATTAATCACAGACTTCTGAATACTAAGAGCCAAGCAGCCACTATACTCCATGTGTTTTGGTGTTTTGCTATGTGTGTGCTTTTTGAGGTTCCATTTTATAAAACAGGCTTTGTTCTGTTAACTAGTATAAAGACCTGATACATATATATGTATAAATACATATATATACCAATGTACACACACATGACCCTATATATTAACATATGTAACTTGAAGGCGGGGCTTGTTGTGAGTGATCATGAAGGGTTCACCTCAAATCATGACAGTAAAACCTTTAGAAACTTGAACTTAAATATATACCATTACTGCCACCATCCAGAAAAACTTAAGACCTGTAGTTGCACCAAGTACAGCAGGTCCCAGGAAGTGTTGTGGCTGCCGATGGACCAGTCAGAAGGTCCCCAAGACCTGCCATTAGTGGCCAGAATTAAACCCATTTGGGTGGGTTCTCGATGCACCCTGAGAATGGTGATTGCAGCCGGGGTCTGCAAGGACTTTCAGGGTTTTCGCCGAGGAGAACCTGTGCGTGTCAATTTGACAGGATTTCATGAAAGGCTTACGGCCAATAGGAGGTTACCTTCTGTAAAGCAGAAGCTGAATGAGGCTAATACTGCCCACTTGAGAGTCGCTGTCCCAGAGAAAGTAGCAAAGTGCTGAGTCGTCAGTCAGCCCAAGATCACACAGCTCTAGACGGGCAGGGATATCTGCACACCCTCCATCAAGCCACCTATCAGAGCTCCCCCTGAGGAAGCATAAGCTTGTCTCTCCACATGAATGCCCTCCTCCACTTTAGCCCACCTATCTTTGTGTGTGTGTGTGTGTGGGTGGCAGGATGGTCTCTTCCTACTGTAATGTCACTTACATGTGTTTTTCTTATCCCTGCTAACCTTACCTGCAGTGTTTTAGTCAGAGGACTCGGGGGGGGGGGGGGAGCGGTGGGTCCTAGCTATAAGGAAGCACAGTGCAACGTCACACAGTCTTCAAGTAAACAGAGTCCCTGATATAACCGGAGAGTGAACTTCCAAAGGCAACAGGAAAAGACAAGCTGCTCGCGACAGCTTACAAAGCAAAAGGGCTCCGGCCCTAGAGTCTTTTAAGGCACAAAACCTGGTAGACGGCTGTTGTCGGCGGTGGGCACCTCAGAATCGGATTTGTAAAGAACAACTGGAACATTTGAGTGAAACCATCGGCCATTTCGTCAGAACCCGAAATCGGTGAATAAAGATGTGTGTGTGTGTGTGGGGGGGTGGAATCCAGACACCAGTATCCTGTATGTGGAGGATTCGTTGTGGAGTGAAAGGCAAGTGTGTGCCTGTAGTGTACAAAGTGCAACTCCCTTCGGGGGACGCAGGACGCCTCCGGGGCAGGCTCCGTGTCTTGGCAGTCACAAGGCTGTTTCAAAAATTGTTAAGGCTGAGGGCTGTCCATTGGACGTGTCCGTAACCACAGGGCTGGTGAATGCTATGTCTGGGTAATTCCTTCTGAAGTACACCTGTGGGAAAGAGGCAAGGGAGAACAGCAGTGAGATTTTCAAATCCTCCCCTCGGGAGGCGATGCCCTTCTCTGCCCAGGGAATCACAGCACCCGGCGAGGGGCAATTAGAAGCCGAGGCCAGTCCTCACTCTGGGGGCTATCAGCCGCGTTCAAACCCTCGGCGGGGCTGAATGCTGAATGACTGGTAGATCCACTTTAGCCCTGATAGCTTTGATTCAGACACACTTTATCACACCATTAAATTGATAAGCAAAATCATTTTACTGGCTCAAAACCCAGAGATAAATTAAAAAAACGGGGGGACAAAGAGGCCAGGGGATCCAGCATCCGCACTGAAGTTTCTCATTTTCAAGCATAAAATGAGCACAATGGATTTGGATGTTAATATCAGGTTGTAATCCCTATATATTACAAACTCTGATTGACAAGCATTGAAACGCTGGCGTCTATGTATGAAACATCCCGGCACTTAATTTGTGCAGCAAAGCAGCCACGGTGCCTATAGAAACGCGATCTGTGGATAGTGGACCACAATCACGAAAAGAGAAGCAAATGCTGTAACAATGACCCCACCGAGCGACTTCTCTAAAATGGAAGATGATACCAAATAATAGGGCAGTTCTTTGCCGGGCCTTTGAATTCCTGAATTCTGCCAATTCCAAGGAAGAGATACAGGCTCTCTGATAAATGTGTAATCAGAACATAAAGGAAATGAAATGCTGTCAGGTCTCAGTGTTCCGCGATCATCGGTTTTTAGCGGCTGTATCATATCTGGGTTCCTTGACAGACGCGTATTACAAAATGAAATAATGTCAAGGCTTGTAAGCGCTTATCTCCAGATGTGTTTGGGTGAAAAGGGACTTCAAATGCAATTTATTTTTTTCCCTTCAAAGAAGAATGTGAAAAGTTTTGTTTGAGTCTTTAAAGCAGAAAATGCAGCGTCTCTGTGAGCTGACACGCGGTGTCATCAGCTGGGTCCTGTGATGCTGGAGACACTTTATAAAACACCAGCTGTAAATGTTTGCGTGGGTGCTGTCAACAAAGTTATCAGTGAGGTAACAGCCTCCTCAAGCAACAGGGTTGCCGAGACGAGACACCTGCTTCCAGGCTAAGGTTGCCTCCCTTGGGTTGCCTCGCGAACTTCTCCTAACGTGGAGGATTCAAGTTACAAAAGGAACGTGCATCGCTTGAGGAGAAAGGCCCTCCTGGAGTGAACTCCAGGCTGTTCCCATAACGTGTGCTTTCAAAAATAGGACTTGCTCTTTTGGGTGTGCCTGTGTATATTTAAATTTCTCGTCCTCTCTGTCTACCTACTCCTCAGATTTCCCAGCACCCACATTGACAGTTCACAACTGCCTGTAAGTCTAGTGCCAGGTGATCCGACGCTCTCTTCTGGACCCTGTGGGCACTGCATGCAAAGGGCGCAGGCAAAACACTCGCACACATTAACTAAAACGGTCTCGGCTTTCCAGTCAGGAATGCTTTGCCGAGAACATTTGCCGGGGTGTAAAGTCCCTGGTTTGACTGTATCTATTATATTTGTTTTATTTGTCCATTTATCTATTTATTTATTTGCTTGTCATCTATCTATCTATCATCTATCTATCTATCTATTCATTTATTTTGAAACAGGGCTCCTCTGTGTAGCTTTGGCTGTGCTGGAACTCACTCTGTAGACCAGGATGACCTTGGACTCAGAGATCCACCTGCCCCTGCTTCCCAAGTGCCGGGATTAAAGGCGTGCGCCACCACCACCCACCCAGCTTCAACCATGTTTCCAACACACTCTGGAAACGGTATGGTTGAGACTAACTAAGCATCTCTTCTTAAATTTAATTTTTATTTTTTTTGGGGGGGGGACAGAGTTTCAAGTATCTCAGGCTGGCCTTGAACTCTGAACCCCTGACTCCATCTCCAAATGCTGGGAGTATAGCATGCACCATCATCACCGACACCTGATAAAAACAGAAACAAAAAACCAATGTACTGCTAGGGGATGAACCCTGGGATTCACACACGCTCGGCGAGACGATGGAGAAGATGGCTGACATTCTCTATTGGGCCCTGAAGCTGTGGGCTCAGCCTCTGCTTTTTTTCCCTGAACACACAGCTGATACAGCCACATCTACTTAGCCTCCCTCCACACAGGCTGCCCCATCCATGAAATGAGATAACACAACTTTACCTCATAGGCACTAATTAACAGCTACAAACTGCAGGCTGCAAACATTCCGAGCTAAGTGTTGGGTGTGTTAATGAAGGCTGCTAGAGAAGTAGTCCCTCAGTGCACGGAGGGCAGCAGCCTGACAGGCTCGAAGATTCCCTCCTGTGATAGGGTGGGATCTTTGCAGAATGCCAGAGCCATGGTTGAAACACAGAGTTACTGTGGTAATCTGGGAGGCAAGCGGGCGTGGCTGAGCAGGTGTAGCTGAGAGATGGCTGGAGCTTCTGGAACCAGCACGTGCTGGCTGGTACCTCACAGTTTGGTGGGCTGTGACACTTCGGTTTCTTCATGTGGCAAACGGTAGCTACCGCCAACCAGAATGTTTACAGCGACAAGAGACACGGCCTGCCGTAAAGCTCCAGTCTGAGGGGACTTTCTCCTTCCTTCCTCTTAGGTTAGAGTTTCTCCAATGTGGGCTGAAACTAAGGATCCTCATTAACTCGTCTATTGAGAGGCCATACGGGAACAGAGCCTTCTAAAGTACAGAGCCATAAAACCTTCCACGCACAGAGGGGAACAGGACATGGCATTTGTGAGACTCCATTCTGTGTGCAGGAGTCTGACTCATTCACGGTAACTCTCAAGGCCTCGTGTCCTTCAACTTGGGGGGGGTATGGGGGAGGGGTCTAACGTTAGACTGGTATTGCTTCCACGCTGAAGAACACTGGAGGCTTAGTCCTGCTGTTCAGATAATTGAACAGTAGATTATCGCATTCTACACTTTTAGAATAAATCACCTTAAACGTCAAAGATACAGAGAAGCAAAAAGAGCTCACAGATGCTGTCATCTGAAGCAATGTGGTAATGATAATTAAAACAGTTTCATGCAATCTGTAAAACAGAACAGCGAAAGCAGGAAGGCACAAGGCAAACTGACGATGATGAGGAGAACTCCACCAGGAGACGACACTTGTGGGGAAGCACATCTGAAACACAGTGGAAGAAGACGCAAGTGACCCCCGGCCCTGCAGAGAGTGAGAGCCCCCGGAGGCTCGGCCATGCAAGAGCTGTAGACAAAAGCTAACTGACAGAGGTCAGCTGCAAAGAGAAAAAGGAAAAGACCCAAGGAACGACGGGTTTACCTAAGGCAGCATGGGGGTTACTGCTGAAGGGAAGGCCAACGGAGTGAGACACAGAAGTAGGACTGAGTGAGAAAGCAAAACATCGGGAATTAGTATTTTAAGAGGATGAATGAGAAACAGCCTTGTAAAATTGACAAAGGTAATATCGCACACACACACACACACACACAACATTTCAATAAATGTAAATGGGTTAAACCATCCATTTGTAAAAAGGCTAGGATCAAAGCTCAGAGCAAAACCCAACTCCATGCACGGACAGAAGGCACACTCTGGATATCAATGACAAAGACAACTCCATGCACGGACAGAAGGCACACTCTGGATATCAATGACAAAGACAAATCCATGCACGGACAGAAGGCACACTCTGGATATCAATGACAAAGATACAGGGAGCAAACGGAGACAGGGTGAAGGGGACAAAGGCATGGTCTTAGCTTTCAGCTGGCCAGAATTAAGGCCAGAGCCTCAAATGAACAGAGAAAGGTTGTTTGAGTTGTAGAAACTACAGCTCATAGCAGAAACCCTGCTCGTAAACACCTGCAAACCATTAAACACATGCAAAGTGCAAGTGACAGGAACTGTAAAGAGAGGCTTGTACTTTCGGTACAGGACACTCATTTCTACACCAGTCAGAGGAGAACAACTAATAATGTAGGACAAAGACTCACATCCGTAGTTAATAAAGAATATCTAAGAGCAATCACTAGCTATAAATCTTTAAAGGAAAGAACTCAAAAAGCCATTTATGAAAGTTTCCAGTGCACTGAGGCGCACAAAAGAACGGGTAATTTCAAGTAAGCAGACGCAGTACAGAAGAATTATCTACCACAAAACAATGACATTGGAAATGCGAAGCAGAACAGAGAAAAACCCTATCGCCAGCAGACATTCCTCTTGCGTAACTTCAGGGATAATAAGGAGAGAAATGCCTGAACTGTAGTATGAAAAGGAGCTTTGATGGAAGCTGAGTGTACAAAAACTGAGTTGTGGCCAAGGCAGTATTCAAAGGAAAATTCACAGCCTTAAATACTTATATTACAGTTGGCATAATTACTGTAGTTATCACATGACAGCTGCAACTGTTACAAGACATCTGTATTAATAAGCGAGACTATACGCGCATGCATTCAATAACTAAAAGGCAACAACGGAATAAACCCAGAAGGGATCGATAGAGAGTAGACGCTGACCAGCTAGCTAGCTGTACAGCAGAACCTAACAACTAGTGAGTCAACCGGTGTTAAATCTCCGGGGTACAAAAATAACTAACACAATCAGAGGGGAAATGGGCAGTAAAGGGTGGAGAAGGTAACTGTAAGGTAGCTACTAGAAAGAATGAGGTAACTATATGTAATGACACAAAGATACAAGATAACACTATCAAGTGGGAAAACAAAGACAGAATGTGTGTGAAAGGACCGGGAGACACAAGCGGAGAGCAGAGAGAAAGGTGGGTTCTCCTTTGTGCTTGATAACCAGGAAGGGTGTAACCGCTCACACCCTCCGCTGGGCACACACCACATCAGCTCAACTCTGCACAGGACGGGGGAGCTGTAAGGCAAGACACCGGAATGGCTGAGCGAGCTACTTTTCACTTATTGGGATTACAGGGGTGGGGGGTAGAGGAGGGGTGTGGCTCAGTGGGTGAAGTGCCTGCCTGCCGTACAAGTGTGAGAACTGAGTTCAATCCCGGGCACCAACGGAAAGGGCTGAGCGAGAGGGCACAGACTGGTGGTTGTGAGCAGACAGAGAGATCCCTGGGGCTCGCTGGGGCAAGCGCAACCTAACCGTCGAGCCCCAGGCAAGAGGCTACCTCAGAGGAGGTGGACCGCACTACAAACGATGACATTGTGGTTGACTTCTGGCCTCCATGTGTGCATACTCATGCACCCACACGCACATACGCGTGGACACACAAACATGCAAGCAAGTACATACAAAATAAAAAGTTTACATATATATCTGTACACTGGGCACACACCGCCTATTGGGCTGGTTATTAGAGACTGCCGCTAATTTAATTGCATCAGGGGAAACAGGCCTGTTTCAATTTCTGCTTTCAACTGCTAGACGTCCCTGGCATCCGTAAAATGCTGCATTGACTTCAGGGCCCTGGATCGCTTACCATCTTGCCTGATACCCACAATGTGAAGAGTCCGGTCGGCACTGCAGACCCCACCGCTATGGCAGGTTGGGCCCTCACCTGCCGGAGCTGTGGACCTTTCTGACAGAGGGCCAGTATCTGCCAAGTGCCTCTTGCCCCATTCAAACAGGCCCGGGATGTTAGGGCTTTGTAAACTTGGGTCTGTGACTGGTATGCTTCACAGGTGGGTAAGATGGGCAGCACCATGACACAGCGGGACCCGAGGAAGTAGGGACACTTCAGCGGGGTCTGCCTCATGCAGGGAGAGAATGACAAGACAGTCATCTTCCACGGTGGGCTCAAAGGTGTGGTGACTTCATTTGTCTTAGAAGCGCAGTTCAGCGTCTTAACGCCAGTAACTCAGGATGCAACTGCACTTGTATACGGGGTCCTTTAAGACGTGACTAACTTAAAACGAAGTCCTCAGGGTGTGTCCTCAACTACAAGGACGTAAAAATCCCTCCCCACCGCACCTGGAAAGCACGCTGCCTTTCCACAGGCCACGTCTAAAGGGCCGGCTCAGAGTGCGGACTCAGCAGCAACCCCTCCGAAGAGGAGTCTACAGGGCCATGAACATGTGACTTGCAAGTCCCTTCATCTGCACAAGGGGCTGGCATCTGAAAGGAGGGCGTTCTGCTCTGTGAGGGGGCTGGAGAGATGGCCCAGCGGTTAAGAGCCCAGGCTGCTCTTCCAGAGGTCCTGCTTTCAACGCCCAGCTCACAAACACCTGTCATTACAGGTGGCGTCCTCTTCTGGCCTGCGAGCAAACCTACAGGCGAACGCTGTACACATGATAAATAAACAAATCTCAAAAGAGAGCTCTGCGTTTCTCTCCATCTTTGTAGTAGAAACAAGCCCCAGAGGCGAGGCAGGGCTTAAATCCACATCTGATTCTGCCACCTACAACCACAGACGCACAGGGAAACAGCCCCATCCTAGATGCCAAGTGAAGCCAGGGGCAGCGCTTTCAGATGCAGTCCCTCGAGCCAGGCAGCGGACTCACCTGGCAATGTACCCTCTGCTCCTAGCTGCCTCGATGCCTGCTCTCAAACCTCGGACCTCACTCACACTCAGCAATCCAGTCGGGACCACACATCCAAGAACTCAAAACACACATTCTGAGATAAATTCTAAAGGGCAGAAACCCAAGTGTACTAATTCTTTCTTTTTTGGTCAACTTGACACAGTTGGGAAGAGGGAATTGCTCAGGAATTGCTCGGATCAGGCTGGTCTGCAGGCGCACCTGAGGGTGCATTTTCTAGATCAGCGACTGGTGTGGAAGGGCCCAGCCCGCCGTGCGGTGTGTGGGTGGCTCAGGGTTATCTGAAAGAAGGCTGATCTAGGCAGGAGAGCAAGCCGGCAAGCAGCGTTGTGTATGGTGTCTGCATCGACTCCTCTTTCTGGGGTCCTGTCTTGGCTTCCCTCAATGACGGGCTGTGGCTGGGGCCTGTCAGCCAAATAAAACACTCTCCTTCCCTCCCACGTGGCTTCTGGTCACGGTCTACGAGCGAAGCAGACTAGAGCGCTAAGTGGCCGTGAGTCCACAGGACAGGACAAAAGAGTGCACAGCTACTGTGACCCACACACTCCTCTGAATGAAAGCCACCCCTGAATGTTGACTGGAGGGGAAGAGTTGGAATTTCTGCTGGGAACCAGGCTAACAGTGGGCTGCCCCTCACTTCCCTCATTCTTAAAATAAACACGCCGAAGGGTGCACGCATGACGCGTGGGTTTGGACCCAGAATCCCGTGCAAAGAGGCCCGTGTAGAAGGCGGCGAGGGGGGGTTGACTCATAGGTGGGGGACGCTTCTTTGATATGTGATGCTTAAAGGTTTGATGTTCCTATTGTTTAGTGATTCTCAAATGATCGGTCGACTGGGTCTCACGAAAGGGAACACTCTAGAAACAGATATGTGCTACATAACCGAGCCCCTCCCCTGCAGCAAAGGCGGCCCTCCCACCTCGGTCACAGTGCAAGGCCTCGGATCACTTACTAGCTATGTGACTCGGGTGTTTCCTTCTTAAGAGGGCGTAACGGTCAGAGAACACAAATCATAGCCCAGACCACTGTTGCTGGTGGTTTTTTTCCAGCCCAAGTCCCTCAGCCACCTTTCTTAGCCCCAAAGAAGCACACGGATGCTGTATTAATTATGAAACTGTTGGCCGATGGCTAGGGCTTCCTATTGGCTAGCTCTGTCTTAATTATTAGCCCATTTCCATTAATCTATGTATTTCCACAAGTTCTCGACTTACCAGAGAACGGCCGGACCTGGATCTGTATTTCCTTTTGCGGCTACATTGCATCTGTTCGAGGTCTCCCTCTGCCTACCTTTCCCAGAATTCTCCTAGCCTCCTAGCCCCGCCTATTTTCCTGCCTCTACTGGCTATTGGCCAAAATGTTTTTTAACGTCATCATGATCATCCCGTTATGGCTCACTGTAGGGAAAGTCACCTGCCAGTTCTCTGCTCTGTTAGTATCCAGTATCACAATGCTTTTATACATACACACAGTTAGCAGTTTTAAAACTGTATCTATGTGTCAATGTGTGTCTGGGTGAGCCTGCAGACCTGTGGGCTCCTACACGCCATTGTAGGGAGTGAGATGCCTGGCTTGTTACATGAGTCTGGGACCCGAACTCTGGTCTTCTGGATTGAGCAGCAAATGCTCTCAACGACTGAGCCATCTCTCCAGGCCCTACTTACAAGGTTTTAAAACGCAAGTAAAATTCAGTAAAACGTAAGACGACACAGCCCCTCCGCATGCATTCCCTGTTCTGAGGTGCTGGGGACAGACCAGACCTTGTCTGGTAGGTGCTCTACCCCCCAACTACATCCCAAACTCTGCTAAAGAGCCATGAGATGGTAAAAGGAAACGTAGGCTTTAGGCCAACGGCTCCCACACAAGACTGCTGGGGATACCAGCACATCTTTTCTTGTTCTGTTGTCTCTCGTAAACACTTAAAGTGTTTCACAAACCCAAGCAATTTTATTCTGCCTATGGTGTTGAAAATCTGAGAAATATAGGAAAAAAATGAAGGTGGGAAAAGGCAGCTGTACTGTGGTGCCTAGAGATGAAGAGTGACATTCATTCAACGGGCAGCCTGACATTCAGTCCCTTAAACCAAAACGCAGTTACCCGAGGTAACACCCCTATGTGTGCTGGAAAAGCTCCCAGGCAACCTGAATGTCTTCAAAGCTTTCTCCAGACACCAGGCTCTAGAATTATTATTCATATAAGTATATATTAGTCACATGTAAAAATTATAAATGGAGATGGGGAGGCAAGCAACAACAGCATTCTTTACAAATTATACAACAAGGAACAAAAAAAAAAAAAAAAAAAAAAAAGCAATCTAGATGTTTCTCTGGTAGATCTTTCTAGAATAAACAATACTCCGTTTTCACCTAGCCTGTCTGACTTCCTGGGTTGCCAATGTGCTAAACATCAACCAGGTGGAAGTATAATGAGCCTGCATGCCCGTTTACTCCCTCTTGAACACGCCTGCTTGCACATGCGTGTGAGCACACACCCTCCCCTCCCCGGTGCTCCTGCCAAGCCCCGGGTAGACCTGACTTCAACCCCGGACTTGTTGAAGCTTTGTCTCCCGAGGTTTATAATTGAAAAGGGCAACACGGTGCTTTTTGCCAGACCCCTGGTGCCAAATGGTGAGGAGGTAACTGGTGAGACAAACCGTAATTAAGGCTCCTGGGCGAACTCACCTGTTTTGCTGTTTCGGTGAGGGCAGCGGCTTCGGCCTTGCCCAGCTGCTGAACCATCTTGTAAAAGAGGCTCTCTGGGTTCTGTAGCAAAACATATGGTTCATCATATTCTTTCAGTCTTCCTGAGTCCAAAACCTGGGAATCAGCAGAAAGAAGCCCGCTGAGACACAATGGCTTGCAGCGATATATTATAACTCAGACAATACTGTGGAAAGGTAGGGCCCGAGAGAATACAGACTATCTATTTGGGTGGTAGGCCGGCCTGCAAAGTGCTTGAAAGGTTTGATTACCCTGAGCTCCGACGCAAACAAAGGCCTAACCTGACCTTTTATTATTATAATGTTATAGGAAAGTTAGGAAAACGAAAGTTCTAGACTGTTATTATAGGCTCTCAGCTGTCTGTTTTGCTCTTGATATTCTGCCAAGGCTACTGGGGAGTGGGGGTTGTTGTTAGTTACTGCTTCTCAGTAACTGTGAGTTTTGGGAGTGCATATGCATATATGCAGAGCTAGGAAATCTATGGACACAAGAAAACCAACCTCAATTCATTTAGAATGTGGGCAATGTAAAAAAAATAAAATAAGAGAAAAGCCAAACAACGGTGGCCTGATAGCAAACCGCCAAGCTGGTGTGATAGGATCTGAGCCGTAGCTGGAGAAGAGTGCCGTTCTAGAGTTTATTTAGGCCACTGGCACGGAGGGCTGTGCACCAAACTCCACCATGGGCAAGGTTGTCACGGCTGGCTGCTGTTTGCTGTGGCCAACGTGAATGATGAGCCAAAAGAACCAATGCTGAGACAGCTTCAGCCCCGCCGCTGTGCACAGAAGGGAGCTCCAGAAACCCCACTGCTCTTTGGATAAGACCAAAGAGGCAATTAAGGGACTGTGCTCACAATTCTGGTGATCCTAACTCCGTACAGCCCATGGCGGCGGCCCAGTCTCAACTTCACAGGGCCTGAGCATCTCTCTCCCTTTAGCCTTGCAGCTCATCGACTGGGAATGGGGAGCAGGGGGCAGGCACTCCTCACCTTGCATTTCTACTTATTAGTGGCTTTGGTTAATGGTTCAGACAGAGGAGACAGTTGGGAGGCAATTGGCCCAAATGACGCGCCTAGGTCATTACCCGATGGTAAGTGGCACTCAGTTCTTCATTTAGGTTGTGTTTAGAATAAATCCATCTTAGGAGCACGCGCTGAAATTCTGAGCGGGGGGCCTGGGTTGTTTTCCACATCCAGATATTGCAGTTAATTTGGCCCATGGTATTTAATCAGAAACATTTATTGAGTCTCCTAAAGGGCATTTCCCCGTTAATCTTTTGTTTACTTCTGTGAATTGCTGCTAAGGGCAGCTTTCTCAAAAGAGTTCAAGAATAATTGAATCTGTCACATCCACATAATAATTAAAATGTCCTATAATTTGGCACGCCAATTTAGATGCCCCGAATGTGTAATTTTACTTAAGCATTGCATTACAGGGCATAGGCAGTCCTCCTGACATTAAGGAAGGGGGGAAGTCACGATTCTGAAAGGCAGGTCTCTCATATGCTAAAGACTAAGTAAATGAGTCAAATTACTTTACAACAGGATGAACTCTCTATTCTGAAAAGGCAAGCTTGCAATCACACTTCAGAGGTAGACAGAGTTCTCCTACTGTTATCGGCCGCCTGTGATTTATAAAGACCGCTCTTTTGTCCCTGTACAACTTCCTACTGAGTTTAGTTAAATGTGAGACACGGAGCCTTTCCCCATACCACACAGTGTCCCAGACCATGACAGCCACCTGAACCAGCAGACCTCACAACCCACCGTCACTGGTGAGGGTCCAGCCAGAAAGCACTCTAAGGAGGCAGGAGGGTTAGTACAGACGTGACAGAAATGCCCCTGGAAAAATTATTTGGTGCCTTCTTAGTATTAACAACTTAATAGCATCTAATTTAGTGTACCTCAGCCTGGGTTCAGTTTCTAGTAACACATAGACACACACACTCACACACACACACACACACACACACACACACACACACACACACACACACAAAGTACTTTAAAAGGAGCCATGGTATTGCAACCCCAAATCGGTGATGATCTAAGAGTAGTGGATGCCATGCCCTGATACGTGTCCTGTAGCAAGACTGTGGTCAATAAGGCCAGTGACAAAACAGCAATGTCCGCACAGGATGCTTTTGTCTTGTTTGTAAAGGACAAAGTCAGGCCTGGAGAGATGGTTTGGAGTATCAAGAGTACAAGCTTCTTTGTTTAATTCCCAGCGCCTACATGGCAGCTCACAACCGTCTGTAACTCCGGCTGTGACGGATCCAATGCCCTCTTCTGGCCTCTACATGCACTGGGAAAACATGTGATACACAGACATTCATGCAGGCAAAACACCCATATGCACAAGATTAGTAAACAAATAAATTAGAAACAAACAAAAATGGCGTCTCCTGTAGTCCAAGGCGGCTTTACACCTTGGACTTCTAGTCACTGTGTCCTGCCCTTATCTCTCCTGTGCTGGGATTACGTGTGTGAGCCACCGTAGCTGGTTTGTATGCCTGCGGGGGTGTGGGGTGTGGTGTGGTGGTCAAACCCAGGGCTCGGTGCGTGCCTGGTAAGAACTCAGACACCTGAGCTATATTCCCAGTCCCAATCTTTTACTTGAACAGTAAACTAAAACTAGGCATGACCTGACTACCCCCGGCTTGTGATGTCATCACCCCTGACTCCCCAAACATGAGACAGTAAGTTACCGTCTCCCCTTTAGCCGCCCACCCCACAGCAGCGTAATACACTTACTATCAGACGAAATAAAAACAGCAAAAAAGAAGGCAAACCAATAATATTTCTAAGATACCATTTCATTTGGATGATATAACTCTACCCGATTAAAAAAAAATACACACTTATAAGCAGTCACGTGTAACGTGCCCACTCTCAATGGCAAATTTATCATATTGAGCAATCAGGCTATGTCCCATGTGCCTGACATACAGTCCCCAATGAAGAAAAGCGACTTCTATTCTAATTTAATTTTCAGGGTTAATAAGGAATGAGTAACGTACAGCCAAAAAAAAAAATAACAGAAGATGCCCCGGGTGACCTTTAAATCTGTGTATTTACTGGACACATTTTTATCACACACTTACCATGTCATTAAGTTAGTAAAAGATGGGTCTCCAGCCCACCTTTACAGAGCCTGCTCTCAAAAACAGGCCAAAAGAATATTCAAGCAACCATAACAAAAGATAACAAAAGGAAATAAAACAAAACAAACAAAAAAACCACACACACACACTCACACACACTCACTCACACACACACACAGACACACACACACACACTCACACACACACCTAGCAAGGCAAGGAAGCAGGGGCCGCAGCACAAGGTCCGAGGACAGTCTATGGAGCACAGCGCTGAGGAGTGCACCGGACCAGCAAACAGATTTGAACCCACAACACGATCACTGCCCGAGATGCACTGTCACCCATGGCAAGGCACGCTTGTCAGATCCGTCTAGTTCACCGTCGGCTGTCGCTACCACCTGCACCCAGTTCTCAAGGCACAGGGCCTGGAAACGTAAGTGTCTCAGGGCGAGACTGGGCCACGTGCACCACCACGTGAGGAGACAGAAGACAAAGAGTAGCAAGGTTTGGGAGCAGCAGGACAGTGGGCTCAAAGCGTGGGAGGGCAGGGCGCAGAGGTTCACACGCTTCAGACCGTGGGCAACACGGTTTAAAAGGAAGGGAGCCAAGACGCAAGGCACCAACTCTGTTAAATGCTGGGAAGGAAAAAGAGTAACAGACAGGCAGCTGCTCTGGTGTCAAGTTGGGACGCACACACACGGGACAGAGAAGCCAGGCATAGAACTTTGTATACTTAATACATTCAGCCGCTATATTTACGGTGTGATCGAGTGGTCTAGATTTTTTTCAGAATAAACAAACATAGAGCCACTCTAAACGATTTCTCTGAGTAGAAAAAAAAGTGAAATTTCCGTTTTTTCTCTTAATGTGTTTTATAAGAAGTCTCCTGACATGATCTGCTTAGTCCCCCTCCCTTCCTGAACCCACGTAAACTGTAAACCCGATCACGTATTAATGCTTATGTGACAGCCATGCCTGAACCATAGATCTCTCCAGGAACGACCTCAAATTGCTCACTGCTGTCTGGCTGGTTAAGGACAAATATATTACACTGGATGAGTCAGCCAGTTACACAAGCTTAGCAGAGACGAGTTATCAGACCTACATCTCTGCAGAGTCCAGGCAGCCGTCCCAGATGTGAAAACCAGATGGACCCATTTCAAAATAATTTAATCCACTTTATCCACAGGGCGTGACCACTCCTTCCAGCATTAAAGAGAGGAAAAAGATAATTGCAATTATAAAATACAGGTCTCTCCCATGCAAAAGACTAAGGTAGTAAATCAAATTGCTTTATAAAATGACGACTTCTCTATTCTGCAAAATTAGCAAGTAAGTCTCCGTTTTCACACCTGGCCTCTCATTCTTACATTTCCTCTTCTGGAATTTGAGCTTCCATGCAAGCGATTTGACTTGAGACTGTACGCATATTTTTGAAGGAACACCTTTTGGTTCTTTTGATTTCTTCCTTTCCTTTCTCAATGCCCTAATTTTGACCAACTAGGTTTACCAGAGCAAAGTTCCTCAAAGGCAAAACACAGAATTGAGTAAAAAAAGTCCAGTTAGCCCTCAGTCATCTGCTTTTCCAGCCGGGTGTGTTACGGTAGTTACTAGCTTTATTGTATCTGGGAAAACAACGAAGGGGAAAAGTAAAGATTATAAGACCACAGTGTGGCCTGTCAACAGGGAGCCACAACCCGGGTCTCTCTGTGTCTGCGGTTCTCTATAATTTGGTTCCCCAGGGATCCTCTGCTTGCTGTCAGATACGGTGCCTAACACGGGCAGTGGACCCTTGAAGCACCTCTCAATCTTGCTACCAGGAGAAGCCCCAGAGCTGCGAGGAGAGCGGTGTGCAGGCACAGGAAAGGGACAATGCTATTGGTCGAAAGAAAAGCAGATGTCGGGTACCCACTTAATCCTAAAAAGCGAGGGGGGGGGGGAAGCCCCATTTAATGTGGAGATAGTGTTGAGTACGGGGAGAAGGAGGCTGTCTAATTTGTCTGTCTTGTTCCATTGTCTTGTGGCAGCTGAGCAAATGAGTGTGATTAAATTAGCTGTCACACAGGCTACGGCGTGTTCAATAAAGTTAAAACTGAGAGAACATCTTCATAAAATAGAATTCTGAGCCTAACGCATTAACGGTGCTTAATGAACCAAATCTGGCTAGCAATCCCTTTGGCGAGCCAACACGTAAACACAGTCATTAATTAGGTCACAGTTGTTTCCCAACATGTCTTCTGTTTGATTTTACTCACAGTAAGCACAACCATACCCTTCCACCTCTGTGGAGCAGTCGCCGAAGCAACACGGTGTGGTGTAATTACTGCACATTAAGCACTTGTAATCACACACCTTACGGTGGGTGACATGCTGTCCCTTATGGCCTCACAAGCGTCACTTCCCCGGCCACTCCCTGAGCCTGGTCCCTGCCCTCTGCTGCACGAGGCTCGGCAGTGGATTGACATGTTGTGATGGTCTGAGTGAGAACGGCCCCCGGGAACGCACTCTTGTGTTTGAACGCTGGCCCCCCTGTGAGAGGAACTGTTTGGGAAGGATCAGGAGATGTGGCCTTGCTGGATGAGGTCAGTTACCCAGGAGGGGGTCAGGGATCCCCCAATGCCTGGGGATAGGGATGTAAAGCTCTCAGCCGCCGCTCCCGTCGGCACCACGCCTGTCTGCTACCCACCATGATGACCACGGACAAGTCCTCGAAAGCCATCTAGGCCAAGGTGCATCTTCACAGCAATAGAATAGAAGCTAAGACACATGAGTGCGTCTTTAACCTTTGAGAGTAACAGAATAGGAAGCACATTTTCTAGAAAGGGGGCTGGTGCTTCTAAAGCAGAAACCGCTCAGACTTTGACGAGGGTGGTGTTAACTGGGAATCAGCGCAGCCTTTATGAGGTGTGTCTGGTGCCCAGACTCCGAACCCCCAAAACCACCAAGAGACCAGATCCGGTGATAAAGCATAGAGTTTTTAATGTACCGGTCCTCAGTCCATCTGTCCGTCCCACACATCGGGTGGAGTGGGAGGGACCTGGAGCAGCAGTGGGCCGGGCACAGACTGGGGTAGAGTAAGGCGAGTGTCTGGGGTCCACTAGTTGCATAGCAACAGTCTCAGAACTGGTGCACCTCCCAGCTTGGGCAACCTGTCCTGGGTTCATTGCTCAGCTGCAGATGCAGAAAGGCTGCTCTGCCTAGAGGCCATCACAGGGTGGCTGCAATGCCCTGCATTCCACAGTTATCAGTAAAGCACATCCAGAGCCCACCAGCTAACCTCTGATTGGTTCCTTGCCGCAGGGAGGGTATCTGGCTTCCTAGTGATTAGACAAGGCCGGGGGCTCAGCACACGTTGCTGAGTCAGGGGTCTATGTCTTGCTCTGTCTTTTCTACAGCCTGTCATGGCTGCCGAAGCCATGGCCCTTGGGTGGACACTGTTGTGTGCGTATGGGGGCAGGGGTTGGGCATGGAGGGTGTCCCGTGAAGAGCACTGTGGTGGCTCGGTTTCTCCCTCGCTCTCCTGCTGCACCCTGGCCATGGAGAAAGAGCTCCGTTTGGCTGCACATCTCCTATGGGACACCACCTCACCACAGAACCAGATCAGAAAGTCCCAAATCTTTTTATTTTACAAAGCGTCTTCAATATTTTGTTACGGTCAAAGAAAGCTGGCAGACACACTGGTGTTCTACCGAACTGAAAGTCGGGGCATGTCAGACTAAGGCAGAAGTTACAACCTGGGTGAATATATGGGAATCAGACACCATCTGTGAAAGTGGAGGCTGCCTGTCTTTTAGGCCCCCTGAGTTGGGATCCTGTACCTTCTTACAACAGAAAGCCGACCACACTTCCATCTCCTGGTGGGTTTCCTCTGATGCTGCTTTTGAGCCTGTGGTCAGCGAACTCTACGCTGAAGACTTCCCCACCAGGCAGGGGCAAGGCCACAGGGACATGCAGTGCCATGCTCAAGGAGAACCCTCTTCCAAGTCTACTTCTCCCTGGGCGTCATCCACGAACCTCAGAGCTCACGTCTTCCTCTCTCTTCTCGAGCCGTATTTGTCAGTCTAGTCACACTACTTGCAATCTCCCCCAAGCACCTTCCCTTCTCCGTTCACCGACAGCATCTCAGCCTAGGCTGCCAGCATTCAGGAGGAGAAAGCACACGCTTGTCAGGAAGAGGGAGACACACACACTAACGGGCAAAGAGAACGCGCCGTGGCTTTATCCACAGCAGAGAGAGGGACCGTGCAGTGGGGTGTGGAGGCAAACAAGGGAGGGCGGGGCTAGGTTACAACCTGTCAAACCACGCTAAGGATTTAGACATAGATAACGAGAGAGAAAAAACAGACTCTGAACATTTACCAGGAGACTCTAGTAAGCAAAACACTAAACCCTGTTGACAATGACAGCAAAGCCGGCCGGTAAAGGGGACAGGTATGAACTAGATGTGGGTCACACCTGCGGGTCACAAGTGGTCCACAAGATTTAGAAGTGACCAGCTGAAATTTCTGCAAGAGCCTGTCCTTCCCTGCTGGTGGTAGGTGAGCCCACGAAACAGAGAGACTCGAATGGCAAGCATGTACTGGTCAGGCATGGTCCTGGACTGTATAAGCAGGCTGAGGAACACAGCGAACACACCATAAGCACCGTTCATTCCTCCACGGCCTCTGCTTCAGCCTCAACTTTCTGCCCTGGGTCCCCCAATGATGGGTTATAAAGCTACGTTGCTTTGGGTCATGACATTTATTAGAGTAATAGAAAGAAAACCCCCCACCCCTCCAAGGAATCACACAAGTGATTTTTTTTTTTTTTCATCCCCAGACTTCTTATCTCTCCACATGTGGGTTCTGGGAACTGAGGTTAGAGTACTCTGTGACAAAAACTGCCCAGCACGGTGCTCATAACTATGGAGCCATTTCTCCAGCCCCAGAAAGATTACTTTTTGTTCAAGGGAAGCCAAAGCAAGGTGATATGAACAAAATGACACTGTCCTACTCTGGAGCATGAAACAGTATCATAATTCATTGCTTAGGTTTGGGACATTTTCACTGAGGCATAATTCAGCTTAAAATGGTCCTGCAAATACTCTTAAGCATGGCTATATATAAAGGAGGACAGGAGGGTAGACTTGCTGGGGTTCTTACCAGCCAGAGGACCCATGGCTACCCCGGGGAGCACTCACCATTATCTTGTCGCTATCAATGATGGTGTTGAGCCTGTGAGCAATGGTGAGCACGGTACACTGGGCAAACTTCTCCCGGATCTTCTGTTGTATTAACTCATCAGTTCTGGAATCGCAGAGCTCACGTTTAATTCAACAAAGGGGAGGGGGGAGACTCAAAACTTAAAAAGTCCGCACACCCCTTAACAATGTTTTTAAATCCCTTTATTGTTACTATTATTTATTATCATTATATTTCACCTTCAGACAGCTCAGGCTGGCTTTGAACTCACTATGTCACCCAGGTGGCTTTGAAACCCAGAGCCTTCGTACAGCTTCCATGTGCTAGGATTACAGGTGTGCACAGCCACAGCTATGCATCATCCCCTCCTAAATGACTGAAATCTAAAAAGTCAACTTAGAAAGCATGCAAACGATTTTCTCTCCGAATTGTTTGAAACAGAACTGGAGTTGGGGGCTCCGATTTACTCTGAAGGCCTGGAACACAAGCTGAGCACTGCTTTCTGAAATTCACAGTGATGGGAGATGTCATTCTGTAAATACGTTTCTCTTATTGGTTAATGAATAAAGCACTGTTGGCCAATAGGAAGGCAAGATAGGCGGGACTAGGAGACAAGGAGGATTCTGGGAGATGTAGCAGAGAGGGGTCAAGATGTAGAGACTTGGGAGAGGAAGAGGTCTAGACTCTCTCCCTCTCAGGTAAGATAAGACCATGTGGAAATACTTAGATTGACAGAAATGGGTTAATATTTAAGACAGAGCTAGCTGATAAGAAACACTAGTAACAGGCCAACAGCTCTATATCTAATACAGCGTCTCTATTATTTGGGGCTGGCGGGAAAACTGCTCGTAACAGCTCAGAATCTAAAGTGTTGTAGATCCTGTACTCTGGGAAATTTGCACACACATGATTGGATACCCACAGGCAGAAGATGATTTTATAAGTATATAAGTAATTCTGTGCATGAAACACATCTAAAGGGCTGACACCCAGACACATTCCTTAGCGTCATTAAACCCATCCCCGGGGCCATATTTGGCGCTCAGAATCTCACCACATCCACTTGAGCTCTGTACCTGGGATCCACGTTTGCTGTTGCCTCATCAATGATCAGTATCCGATTTTTCTTTAGAATCGCCCTCGCAAGGCACACCAGTTGTCTCTGCCCAACACTAAAATTGGATCCGGATTCTGCTAACTCGGTATCCATTTTACCAGGGAGTTCTTCAATGGCCTCTTTAAGTTGTACCTGCAGATGTAGACAGAGGAATGGTACTTTCATAAATAAACAAACCTCTCCAACCCCAGGACTCTGAAGTTCTTCTTCACGGATGTGTCATGGCGATGACGTCACCACCGATGGATGTGCACTGTCTGTTGGGTCTGCGTCATGAGTTAGCACTGGTGGCGTATGCGAGACATGGCAAGACAGAGAATCTACCTTTACAGAGATTTAACTGTATTTTCAAATTGTGTGTATAAGTGTGTGTCTGTTTCTGTGTGTGTCTCTGTGTGTACACCTATGCGTCTGTGTGTGTTTCTGTGTGTACATCTATGCATGTGCGAGTGTGTCTGTGTCTCTGTGTGTACATCTATGCGTCTGTGGTATGTCTATGTTGTGTCTGTGTGTGTCTGTGTCTCTGTGTGAACATCTATGCGTCTGTGGTTGTGTCTGTGGTTGTGTCTGTGTGTCTGTGTGTGTTTCTATGTTGTGTCTGTGTGTGTATGTGTCTGTGTCTCTGTGTGAACATCTATGCATCTGTGGTTGTGTCTGTGTGTGTTTCTATGTTGTGTCTGTGTGTGTATGTGTTTGTGTCTCTGTGTGAACATCTATGCGTCTGTGGTTGTGTCTGTGGGTGTGTCTGTGTGTGTCTTTGTGTGTTTCTATGTTGTGTCTGTGTGTGTATGTGTTTGTGTCTCTGTGTGAACATCTATGCGTCTGTGCATGTCTGTGTGTGTCTTTGTACAGTTATGTGCATGTGAATGCAGATGTCTGCAGAACCCTAAAGAGGGTGTCAGGTCCCCTGGAGTTGTAGTTACAGGTGATTACGAGCTGCCTGTTGTAGAAAAGAACCTGGGTCCTCTGCAACAGCAGCAAGTGCTCTTAACTGGTGAGCTATCTCTACAAGCCTGGGGATGTCCCTTCCTACTGGTTAGTTCGGAGAAAGCTGCAGAAGAAGTGTACAGAGACAAAATCAGGTCAGAGTAGTGATTGCACAGTGGTGGCGGGTTAACTGTAACTAGAGTCCCCGGAACACTCTAAACCCTGATCACTGTGGTGACCCATAACTCTACAGTCAAAATTCGCTGCGCCACACTTCTACAGGGACCACTTCCTGTTACATAAATTATACCTCAACGAAACGGGTGCATTTCAGAGCCCCTGCCCTGTCATCCTAGGTCCCTTCCCACCACATGACATCCACCAAGAACCTTTCCCCAGAAATCATGGAAGTCTCTCAGACAATAAGCTCTTCTCGTATGTGAGATGCATTATAGAAAAGGCAAGACAGGATCACTATAGTCAAGTTCCCTAAGAGCTGCATAGGAGCTATTGCAGGAAGACAGCCCTCTGAAGGTAGCCTGCCATTTTGGAAGATTTTAATTAACCAGAAAAGTCTTAAGAAGCTCAAACAAGTGGGAACTACTTCTTCAATATCAGGACCCCTGGAGCATGTTCAGTCACTAAAGCTATCAAGAGCATTTTCTGCAGTCATATCCATGTTCTACGGTGAACGACAACCCGCGAAGGAGAACACAACGCAACGTCTTATTGTCCCATCTATATAATACACTTCTAGTAGTCTATCTTTGAAACACTTGACTAGTAAGCCGTCAGACTACATCACTCGGTTGTGGTTCAGTCCTACGAATATTTGCTCTGCAGAAATCTTACAGAACAAAGGCCAAACATGGGCTATCCCTGAGAGCTTCAAAACAAAGGGTCAGTGCACTTCATTGAGAGAGCTACAGGCTGACGAGTGGGCTCTGGGGCTCGAACTCAGGCCTTGATGCTTGCAAGGCAAGCCCTTGGCCAGCTGAGCTGCTATCTCCCTAGCCCAGATTTTAAATCTGTAAAACGAAAACTGTAATCCTTTGACGCCTGGGTTTCACAGCACCTGGCTCTGCCAACGAGAAATAAATCCGTGACTTTTCTTGTCAGCTTTCTCGCCTGCAAACGAAACGCAGTGTTACCATAACCAAGATGTCTATCTCCAAATGCCATTTGCTGGGCTATGCAATGAGTCAGCACGTGTTCAGTATTTACAGCAGTGCCTGCCTCAAAGAGATCAATCGGCATTACCTATTACTAATAGTGCCGTCATCTGGCTCTCTTCATGTTCTGCTCTTTATTGCATTTATTAGCCTTCATTTTGTATGCATAACCATTTGCTGATGGCCTAGCTTCTCCACAAGAATTTCAGCTCCAAGTGGGAGCGCTTTGCCCATCTGGATGACTACTGTAATAGCTTAAGAATCTACAATGCCTACATAATAAGCTCTCACTAAGTAACTAACTGTTCAAACGCATGACGGAAGCCACAAGAATGTCTCACCCATATCTGTTTCTACAAGTCAGAAAACAAATCCATAAGGATACACACTTTATATAGAACACAATCACATTAAATAGCATTGTAAAAGAAACACATGGCTTATAAAAATTAATCGGCCCCGGGATATCCTAACAGTCAAACTACAAGTATGAAAAACAATTAAAAATTCAGGAAAATTGATGTAATCATACTATTCTAAACTATTTCAGCACAGAACACTTCTGAATGTGTTTTAACTTTGGAAAACAGTAAAAGAAAACAAAATCGATAAGCTGAAGGTGGCATCACAAATACTTTCCCTACTATGCGCTCTGTATGGAAGACATGCCAGAACCCTTTGCAGACTGGCAGGGGTGTCCGACCCTGTTTCTACTTTCTTTGAAACTAACTATGGAGCTCTGAGTGAGAAATGTCCCTTACAGGCTCATGTACCCGAATACTTGGGCCCCAGTCAGTGTCAATGTTTAGGGAGGTCATGGAGGGCGTACAGCCACATCCCACACTTCCTGTTATCATTCTGTCTGCTTCCTTCCTGTGTGTGGATGAAAACATGATCCTGCTGTCTGATCCACACCTCCAATGCCATGAGACACTCTATCCCTCCGGAACGGCAAACTGAAATGAGCCCCCTCTTCCCCAAGATGTCTCATCCGGGTGTTCAATCGCAGTGACAGAAAGGCAACCCACACACTTACTGAGTTTACCACAAGGAAGGCTGTTATGCTGGAACGAGCCAGAAACGCCATCACTGAATGAAGCTACTAGCAAATGGAGCCCATCCCAGGAAATCCATGGACCCGGACAAGGGGGAGGTGAGCTGTGTGTGGAGAAAGTGCTGAGCGACACAGTTCCTGGCAACACTCAGATGCCTTCACATGGTCTCCTGTACAAGGAGATTCACTGCATCCTAACAGGTGCCACTCACGGGGAACCTAACTAAATGAGTCTCACAGCCACAGACACACGCCATTCTTCACGGTCTGCTCCGGGGGTGTCCATGTAGATTGGCAGCAGAAATAAATAACTCGTGACCGATTTCCGTTGTCAGTTTTAACTGCTGTGGTTGATTGACAGGTCCCGTCTTTAGTTACCTCTCTGTCTTTTTATAGGGTTGCCATGCTTCCTGAACGCTCCCGTAGGCGCTAACCGCGACAATATTTCTTCTGCTATTCGCTGCTTATTTGGAGGCAACTTTCAGTATATTCAGAAAGTTAAAAAAAAAAAAAACATAATGAACAATATTCACAAGACGGTCTCTCTTCTGAATGCCAAGCCTGCGTTTTGTTTGTCTGTCTTGTTTTGGTTTTGTCTCTGGTATTAGTAAGAAATAGGCGGTCTTCCTCTCCACTTGAAGCTGCTCCCTGAAGGACCCTAAAATGAACTCCATGGGTTTGGGCTCCATTTGCATTAGCATCTTAACGATCAGAGGCTTGGGTGGGCCCCTCCTCCTCCTCCTCTCTCTCTGTTTTCTTACACAGGTTACCATTAAGCCCAGAGGCCCACAGTCAAGTTTTAGTTTACTTTAAAAAGGCCATCAGGTTTCCCACCACTCATGGTGGCAGATTTTGCCCTGGTTTGGATATAAGGTAAAGAAAAAAACCACAGAGACAACAGAGATTCAGGGAACTTGCACGGCATTGAGCATGGCCGGATGGCTTCCCATGCACCTCCCAGGTAAACATGCAGCATCTGGCTTCTGATTCTGAAGAGGGGTGGGGTCCACTGTCAGAACGACCCGAGATTCCAAGGATCCCAGACCGGGACTTCTTCCTGACCTATCAGAAGGACCCTGCTCCACGCACTATGGTCACACACACAACTCCAGCTACTGCCAGAGAAACCTCACAGAGCTTCAACTTCTAAGAACGCTTGGCCTTCTCACGATCCAGAAGAAAAGAGAATCTGAACACATCAGAGGAAGTTGAAGTTTTCAGAAAAGAATTAAAAAAGAGAACGAGAGACAGGGAAACAAAAGACCTCCAAAGACTCACTTGCTCTTTGGTGACCCCCCTCCCCCTCCCCCACTCCCCCTCCCCCTCCCCCCACTCCCCCACAGTGAGAGTAGTGTGGGGCTGGGTTTCTCAGGTCACGTGATTCAGAATACATGTGTAACTAGGGAGAAGGCTCAGTCAGTTAAGGGCCCGCTGCAATCATGAAGACTGTCATTGAGTCCCCAAACCCACACACAAAAGGGAGGGACGTGGTGACATGGGCCTGCAATCATGGCTCTGTGCCCCTGGGCCCCGCTGGCCAGCAGGTCAGCCTGATTGGTATACCCCAGACTTAGTGAGAGACCATCTCAAAACATAAGGCCGTTAGTGACGAGACCTCTGGCTTCCACAACAACAACGTATACACAAGTGCATTGGCACGCTCCCATAACACGGAGGAACACCACACACACACACACACACACACACACACACACACACACACACACGCACACAGCGAGAGAGAGAGAGAGAGAGAGAGACAGAGAGAGAGAGAGACAGAGGAGGCAGCAAGAATTACATTTATAAAGACAACAATGACTAAGCTTTAGGAAATAGCCAATTCTGCTTTTTGAAAATAAAACCAGGAGAAACCAGGACAGGGTAATGCTATACTTCCAGCAAACAGCGCTCACACACGAGGGCAACCCAGAGGCAGCGTGCAGACACACACTGTGCTGGGACAGTCTTTTCTCACGCCCATTCACAGCAGCTGCCAGAGCAGGGCACACACAGGAAACCCTCAGGGCTGTCCAACACTTCTGCTACCTCATCCTTCAACTTGGAGGAGGAGGAGGAGCTACTAAAACTTCACTTTGTCACTAACAGATGAAAATAAGTGTAAGACAGCCAAGTTTGAAGATGCCGATGCCATTTGACCGGACCGGCTCTTTGCTGCTCGCAGAACAATTTGTTTCTAAAGTGATTTTACTACCTGAGAATCTTTGCAGAGCAATTTTAAGCTCTGAAGCGAAGGGAGAAACGATTTACTAGTAATTCCTGTTTCCTCGGGGTGTGCCACGCGGTCTGGCCATTGCCTTGTCCCGTCTTCCCATCCTCTGTGAGCTTTAGTGTGTAACTGTCCTCTGCCTGCATCTTCTTTCTTAGCGAACTCTCACGGACTCTGATGACACGGGAGGCCAGCCACCATCCGAGTCGGGCTTGGCGAAGAAGCCAGCCCAAGACAGGAGCAGAGAGTCCCCGCAGCTGATGCTGGGAAGCAGGGTGTGTGTGAGATGATGTGCCTTCAGAAGCAAGAACTCCCGGCAGGAAGCTGTCAGGCCTCCAAAGTGGCGTGCACGCTCACGGTCAGAACCCGTCTAAGCTAAAGATTTCAGAGCTTACCTGAAAGAGTTACAGGGACAAATGGGACCCCCCCCAAACGACGGCAGGGTTAGTGACAGCGGGGAACTGACCCCTGAGCTTTGGGGTCCTTAAGACGTACACCTTGCTTTTCCGAAATGAAGAGATCAGCCAGCCACTCCCTATGTATTTATCAAATGCTTATGTTTTAAAAGTGAAAGACTGAGCCAGGTCCTAGGAGGAATTACCGTCTACGGTACGATTTCTAGTATTAAGCGGCTTACAATTAATTTGCAGAACTAGTGTGAACTTGAAAAATAATTATCTCTAAACACATAAACCAGAAGCACCTTAGTGGTCAAAAATCCTTGGCCGTGTGGGAAGGGGATCCCCAAGAAGCGGTCCACAGGGACGCACTACACAGATGATGAGCAAATCCTCCAGGATTAAAGGAATCAGTACAGTGACTCGGCCAAGGCTCCAGGAGTCTGTTCGCTGCTCACCCTGTGACGTCACAATGACAGGGTTGTCAATAAGTATCACTTTCCTAGTCGCTGTAATTTGCCCTTATAAACACTTGCTTCTGAGACTCCAAAGCACGGTGTGAGAATGACCTCATTCTCCCTTCAGTTAATAATGAAAACAAATGCCTCATTTTCCTAGCTGCTCCCCCAGCATAAGGCGGCAAAGACGAACGGCCCTTGCAGATGCGGTCTTCCAGGCAGAAGGTCCCATCTCCATCACTTCAGCTGTGCCTACTTACGGGTGTCCATCAGGACATCCCAGGAACTGGTGACGTTGCCCGGAGAAGGATGGGGCGGGCCTTTGTACCCTCACATAAAGTTCCAGTCACTCCTTCTGTTTATCTGTGTGCAATTCTGCCCAGACTGCACATAGCCTTGGGGGGCTTGGGGAAAACCTAGAGTAGTAGGTTGGGGGAGGTTAACGGAAGGGGGACTGCAAAGTACAGAAAGCCATGGTCCACGTTAGAGGCAGCGGGCCCAGAGTGGCTGCTGTAGGGTCTCCCATACTTCTTTCTGCCTGTAATACCCTCAGCCGTGTGCTCTGTGAGTAAACCCAATGAAGCTCCCCAGGGGGCTCTTTGGCGGAACCCAACTTTGTTTTGGCCTCAGGACCTTATGAGGCGCTGAGTGGGTAGACACTGTGCGTGTGTGTCTGCCCCTGGGGAGAATTCTCAACAGCACTTAGTCGTTTAGGACATAGAGTCGCTAGGAGAACTTGAGGTCTGCAAAGGACAAGTAAGATACTGTGTTGGCTGAGCCAGGTTTTGGAGAATTAAAAAGGAACATGATGTAAATTACCTGGGATCACCACCGTCATCATGTACACTTTATACCCATCCACGTTGCCAATGCTCCCCCCAAGGTGACAGACAAAGGTACTTCAAGCAATACGCTCCCCCGCTCCCCGCAGCTCTGAGCATATGCACATACACACAAGCTAACGATGGGAGAAAATTGCACTACAGAAATTACCTCCTCCAAGGCGTTCCACAGCTCCTCATCCGTGTGCTCATTGAAGGGGTCCAGGTTTTTCCGCATTGTTCCAGTGAACAGGACAGGTTCCTAGGAGCCCGAAAAAGTGAGTTGCCCACTGCATGTGACTTCCAGAACAGAGTAGAAAGGCAAACAAATGCCCCCCAAAGTTTGCCACTATCAGTAATTCTAAGTTTCCACACGTTTGTTTACAAGATGTTATCTCTATTATAATTTCCCATCACACAAAACGTGATCCCAAATATCTTCCTAGGGAAAAGGAAACCATGACGGTGTGCCAAAGGAAATGAGGAAAAGGAGAGTTCCTGTAGTTAAGAACAATTTCCTGGAAGTAAACACAGACATATTTACTTGAGTAACATGGCATTAACCGAACTACGAAAGTTACTGGCCAATCTTGACACCACCAACCACCGCCTGGCTTCTATCGCTAACTAGGATGGTTGCTTTGTTATTTTGATCTGCAGTGGATCTGATGAATCATAAACAATGTACCGCCACACTGACAGGCTTCTGGGAAACAAGAAACAGCAAGGTTAACTGAAGTTTGTGCTGGAGGTGAAAACTGTTCAGTATTTTCGCCTTCCACAAAGAGTGTTCCTTGAGGGAGTGGAATCCCTCTGGATACCTGGCTGGGACACGTTCTATTCTATTTTCAAACAGGATGCCAACTAATGGGGCCAGTGGCACCTCTGTTCATGGATCTGGCCTCTGATGTTGCAAAAGAGCCCTCACATGCCTTGTCTGTGGATCAGGGTTGCCTGTCTCAGTATTAACTACAAGGGCAAGGTCACCTGAAACCCATTGCGAAGCAAGTATGGTAACACGTTCTTCTGTTTCAGGAGGAGCCCACAAGTAAACTGCTCTTGAATCACCCACACCTCCTTCTGGATTTAAGGGAGCATCTTATATGTGGGCTTAGGAAGGCTGTGCAGATTTTCTTCTAGAAGCTTCTAGAAGAAGAAGCACAACTGATTGTTTTCAGAGAAAGTGAAGAATCATGAAGGGCACAGATATGGAAAGTGAGAAGCCATAGCTCTTCCATGGGCCCTGGCAAACTGTTCCTAGCCTTGAGGCAGGGGCTTTAACATGTAAAAGACTGAGGAGGAGGAGGAGGACTTTTCTCCAAAGACCGATACTGTCATTTGCCTCTTAATTTTAGACTGATGACAGAAAAAATATGGGTGCAGAAGGCCAGGGGTGTTCCACTTCCAAACAGGTACCCCACCCCTCAGCAAAACCCCGAACCAAACGACACTATCATTGTATTCTATTTGTGCAAAGTCGATTGAGCTGACACAAGAAATCTGAAAATGTCTACTGAATAAAACTGAAGGAACACAATAGGCTAATCTAAGGTTATGCTTACAGAATTTCAGAAAGACTAAATAGCTATCTACATATGGTGGGAATTTCTTATCAGCAATAAAACGTCATTCTACTGACTTCAGGTTTAAAGCGCGTGCACACACACACACACACACACACACACACACACACACACACACACACACACACACACAATCCTCAGAGATCCCAGAACAGGTGACTTCTCTTGCCTGCTTGCATGAGGGTTCACAGACAACAACGTTCTGCTGGCTGCCATCCTTCCTAACTGCCCACACCAACCATCCTCCCCCTCTCTGATGATCTTCCGACCTCCCCACAAAGGCTCAGCACCATGGCTGGTGTGACGCTGGGGACCCAAACTGAGTGGCCGGAGGACCTAAAATATATGAGGAGCTGCAGAGGTAAACATGGTCAGGAATCAGCTTTGAGCCCACGTGAGAAGCGAGAGACGGCCTCTCTGTATGAAAGGCAGGTGGTTCCCCTGGTCCAGGATTGCTGATACTACCTCAACAATTTGCCCTTCGGGTTCCTCTCAGACAGTAAAATCACATTCAATACCTCAGGTCTGGACTTGTGCACAGATCTCACGGACTCTCGATGCCTGTCCTGAGCACTAATGTAGGGACAGTTCCATACACTCATGATGAAATAAACGTCCATAGTTAGCCCGGGTAGGACGGAGGCTCGGTGGCTCTAGAGGACAGCACACTTCTGGCCCAGCACTCCATCTCACAGTCAGGCTCTCGTGCCTGTCTTATCCATACCTCCCCCCTTAGGAAACTCCCTCACAATACAGGGAAGTCATCAAGCCTCAGGACATACTGTGTTCTGAACGCCAGCCTCAGCAGGAGGCCTCTGGGAGGCTTGACTGAACACTGTCCACTAAAATCAGGGTCTCTATTAAATCTATACCATCAACTTAAAGGGGATATGGGGCAATCACTCACGTTTATTTAGCAATGTTAAAAAAAATAATTAAGTAAATAGAACAATTTTCTTAGTTACGACATGCCGGATACATATTTCCTAAGTAAAATAAATTTCATCAAGACCTGTTGAACAGGGTGAATGATTTAATACAACATTAACTGGTTGGAGCTACATTTTCTTTAAAACTAGCAGGCAATTTGTTCACAATGGCTGTTTTACTATGCAAACATGTATTATGCGCAGTGCTCACTCCCTTTATCCACTTGCCAAATAAAAAAGCCCTAATATTATCTTCAAAAGGTAATAAAAGTGCTCACAGTAGACGCACACTGAGAGAGGAGATAAGGGTCAAGTTAATTATCATTTCCAATAGATATTATTATTTAAAGCATCCACCTCCATGCTATGAAGTTCACAAACTAGTTTTATAAATAAGGGCTGTAAAATCGTTTGCAGCGGGAAGATTTCACATGGGGAATCGATGGGAGGAACAGGCAACCTAATTTACTAGCCTCAGTGCTCAGTGTATGGTCCCTGGTGCTACAGGTTCTAATATGAGTTTTGTTTTAACCTTCGCTCTTAGCTAGCATGGTAAAATTAGGAGGAGAAAAACACATGTGTTCAATACAGCAATACAACCAGAAGACTAGCAGAAAAACACATGTGTTCAATACAGCAATACAACCAGAAGACTAGCAGAAAAACACATGTGTTCAATACAGCAATACAACCAGAAGACTAGCAGAAAAACACATGTGTTCAATACAGCAATACAACCAGAAGACTAGCAGAACCCTTTTTCTTCACCACTAAGTCAAAAGTCCCATTCCTTTCGACACCATATTCAGTAGTAAACGTTTGGCTGTTGCCAACACGGCACATATTCAGGCCTTCTACTCCCCAGATGCTCTCCTTTAGAAGGTTCTGAAAACCGGAGACCTTGACTGCACTGACTGAAAGCCAGGCGTCCATTACGTAAAGGAGAAACTCAACCCTTTACAGCTCACACACTGAAGCCAAGAGGGACCAAGACAAAAACTTAAAAATGAACAACGTAAAGTTCAACACTCGCTCTAACCTCTTTGGAACTAGGGAACATTCCTCCCCTACAATGAACGGGGGCTAAAGTGCTGTCTTGGAGGCGCCTACCAGGCCCCTTCTTATTCCCCAGATCTTTACTGGGGAAGCATCCACCCTCCCAGGTCTCAAAGGTGGAGTCATCTGAAGTCAGCCCATCTCAGGTTTGCCTTTCTTCTTTTAATCCCGTAGCCTCTGAGCGAACCGATCATCATGCATCTTCAGAAGAAAAGGACATTGTTCGCCCACAAAGGAAGAAGAATTTAAGTCCTGTAAAGTCGTCTTTAAATACAAAGAGGTCACCAGCTCCGGGGAGCAGTTGCCACGGGTTTTAACGAGGACTTCAGGGTGCAGGGACAAAGGGGCCCTGCATGAGGCTGGGATCCAATTGTGGGTTTTTACCAGTAAGGGCAAACCTTCCCTCTTCTCTCTCTCTCTCTCTCCTTCTCTCTCTCTCTCTCTCTCTCTCTCTCTCTCTCTCTCTCTCTCTCTCTCTCTCTCTCTCACACACACACACACACACACAGGCAGAAGAGACACACAGCAGCTCTGGTTAACTTTTTAAACTCACTGAAAGCTCGGGTGGGGGGGGGAGGGCAAAAGGAATAGAGTGGGTTGTTTAAGAAGCACCTGGCTTTTTGTTTTGGTACAAACAAAAGGAATCCATTAAACACACAAAAAGAATCTGTCTGATCATGATAAAGATTACAGCTGTTAGCGCACATCAACCCCTAGGTGCTGCTGTCAACGGGAAATTTGCTGAGAACTGCTCTTTGGTTGAAAACATTTCCTTGGTGCCAAAAAAGACAGGGCACAGGGCAAGAAATTCCATCCAGGGAAAAAAAGAAAGAAAATGAAATCTATGTTTGCAGATGCTCTCTGAGAAGCCTTTCCCCGGAAGCGGGGCTCATCTTGGGGCTCTCTTCTGCAAAGTGGTGGGTGCTCACAGGAAGTACAGGTGTCCGCCATGTGTTCTGACGGAGGAAGTCACGGTCACACAGGTAGCTTCTCAGGCTACCTGGCTTGGCCCCGTCTTGGTCGGTTCATGATTCCTCGAAGGCCAAGTATTTGCTCCTTACAAGGGGCTGCAGGGACCCCGTCCAGACCTGTCACTGCTCTTGGCAGGCCACTTGGTCCTTCATTCCTATTTCCGAATTTTCCCTGGAAGGTTCAAGAAGGATGGGACCTTAACCCATCAACGGAGGAAGGAGCTTTGAGGACGGACAGCAGGAAGATGCTGGCCCCGCCCACCTGGACCTGCAACTCTTCCCAGGAGTCCTCTACCCCTTGGGCTCAGCTGTGGTCCTGCTCGTTTAGGGAAGTGGGGACTCTTGACACAAGCCGCTCTGATGGACAGGCTTCCACTATCTCCACCGAGACCCCGTGCATGCAAGGACTGGCTCTGTAGCCATGGATAAGAACCCTGGCACTCCATTAATCCATGAGTGACACCTGGTCTCCATAACGACTCTCTTCTTGTGCCGGGTGTCACTTGGATTCTTCTGGCAAACGGTCTGGTCTTCACAAACCCGTCTTTTCAGAGCTGCCTGGCGCTGCCAAGATCCCTGGGAGAAAAAACGCCTGTTGGCTTGGCTTAACTTCTGACTTTATTTTCTTTGGCTGCAGTTTTGGGAGCCCTTTCTAGGGAGGGTGGATAGAAAGACAATGGCCAAAATATCTGACAAGACATCAACTGGTTATGAACATTGATCGAGAAAAAGAATGTTCACAGCCTGCCAGTGCTGAGTTCTGAAGCTTCTACCACGCAAAGTAATGATGAGGTATAAAATCCCTCCAGCCTCCGTTTCCTTCCTTGCCTTTTAGGGATGCTGTGACAAAGGCCCCCCTTTCCCAGGGTGTTGACAGGCAGCAGTCCACACGGGCCGGGGAGCGGCATTTTCAAAGGGCGGGCGCGGCCCCGGTGGTTCATGAAATCAGTTCTGCGGCTTGTGATCATCATTTTGCCTTTCGCATGAACTAGACTCGAATAAATAGAATAGGAAATATCGCGGCACACGGTGCAGTAATAGCCCATTACGAGAGTCTGTTTCCGAGCATGCGGGTGTGTGCGGGCACTCACAGGACCCACGGTGGTGTCAGGAGACCGTTCGGATGGACTTCATCCCCCTGGCTGGCCTGCTTAAACCAGGCAGATGGGCGCCACGCATCAGGAGACAGGGAGTGTCTCCAAAGTCCCTCTCAACCCTGGCCCAGCTTCCTTCCATGCCTTCATTCCCAGCTCTGGGGCTGAGAGGTCGGGGAGACAGTAAACATGAAGGACTCACGTCTCCTTATGTAACCTGTCCTGGCTGCAGCCGGCATTCTGAATGCTCTAAATGGCTCTAAAGCAGCCAGGAGAGAGAGCGGCTGAGTCCTGGGGGCTGGAGAACCGTGAAGAAGGTGGGCGGGCGGGGTGGAGGACAGACACAGAGGGGCTTCCCTCCGCTGGCCAGTAATAACTGACACAGACCAGTCACTGGGAAAGCTTTGTTCTTGTGAGGGTTCTGCCAGGGTTCTGCCACAAACTCCCCACCCTGGGTGCATGCGCCTGCACACAGCTTTGTGTGTCTCTGGGGAATGTCTGTGAGTTTTGGGAATTGGATGATTTTTTTTTTTCCTGTCCTACTAACTATAATTTACATGAATAATTTGATGTAAAGAAAGTCATCGGGATTACTGCAGCAGGAACTTAAATTAATGAGCCAAGCCTTTCTAGGATGTGCTATATAATATACAGTATCATAATCCTTAGTAATCGTTACTATTTACTGAACATTCTTAGGGACCACGCATGCGGTCACCTCCATTTCCTGTACGGCTGGTCCTTCATGAGCAAGCTGTCAGGTAACTACTAGACCTGGTTTAAGGACAGGAGCTAAGCCTCCCGAGCTAGGTGAGGTGACTTCATCGAGGCCACTCATCCCTGGCAGTCAGAGAAGGTTGAAAATATGGGACGTGTTGACATTAAGCTCACACCCTGAAACAGGCTATTCTGGGCCCTTTATAAGATGCACGGTTTCTCTATCTAAATCGTTTCTTATTTCAACCAACTGGCATCTGGGAGACAGGCAGGCAGGGAAAGGCTCCATGTGCTCACGATGCTTGGTGGCCATGGTCCACAAGGACACAAAGCTTAGTGAGCAAGCACTGCTTTGTGAACATATTCTGGGGAGGGAGCAGATCCGCAGAGCCTCCGCACAGGAGGGTGGGAACTCATGGAACGGAACCAAACTGGGTGATGTCAAGGTGTACTCGGTCTTTGCTCAGATGTGCTTCCAAAACATTCCCGGCAGAGCCAAGAATGGCCTAATGCCGCTTCTTTATTTAGAGCTCTTTTATGTACACAAGCACGGAACCCACTTCTTACTAAGGAGCACTGAAAGTAGCACGGGGCACGTCTCTGGGTCCTTTCATCCCGGGGTATGAGACGACTTACGGACACGCCTGAGATCAGGTAAAGAAATCTTCACAGATAGCACCTGGGATCTGAACTCTTACTTCAACTGTAACCACACTTCTAGTGCTCAGAGGGGCCTATGGGATGGAAGATTTCTTCTGTTTCTTTTTTCTTAAAAGGGTTGTCTTTTGATCTTTTGAAAGAACTTGTCAGAATTTATACACATGAAACCTATTCCTTAATCATTTAGTTATTATTACCACTGTATTTACTTACGAGAGGGCACATGTGTGCCAGGGTGCATTTGTGGAGGGGAGAAAACAACTCTTGGGGTCCGTTTTCTCCTTCCGCCATGTGGGGAAAATGAGAACTGGCTTAGGACCCCAGGCTTAGCTGCATGTGCCTTTGCTCACTGAGCCCCGCCCCTCATCATTTCAAAGCTCACAGGCCAATCTTACGCTCTTCTGTAGTGGCCAACACCAATCACGGGGCTTCATTTTTCTTAAAAGCTTACTCCCTATATCCACCAGGCAAAGCCACTTCCCATCCGTGCCTTCCCTACTTCCTGCCGGACTCCGTTCTACCTCGTCTCCGTGAATTTGTCCGCTCCTCACATGAGCAGAACCATTTGCTGTCTGTTATTCTGTGACTGACTAGACTGCAACTCCACCTTGGTTTGAGAGTTTTCCCGTGTAGCAGCACGCATCTGAATCCCCTCCCTTCTTAACGCCCAGCAGCTTCCCATGGTTTGTATACACTATTCTGTCTTTAGCTATTCATCTGTTAATGGGCACTTGGGTGGCTTCCACCATTACTGTGAATACAATAAACACAAATGAGTGGATGCCTCTGCCATACCCTGCTTTTGATCACTTTATATATACATATATGTGTGCGCACGCACGCACACACGCACGCACACACACACACACACATACACACGGAACTGCTGGATAACACGGGGTGGTCCTCTCCTCTCCTCAGTCTTATGAGGTGTCTCTATGCTGCGTTCTACAGTGGCTCTGCCATTTTACATCCCCAGAGTTCTAATTTCTCCGCGACCTCATCATCACAGTGGGGGTCGAAGTTCTGTTACTTCACAGGTCCGGCAGCTACAGGGCAACACGGGCTCAGCGCGCACATCTTCCTCCTCCCAGGGTGTTCATTCTCTCCCCTTTATCATAAACACTTAATGGGCACATGCTCAGAAAGCAGCGCCTCTCCCTTGTCTCTTCCATGCATTTCTCACACCAGGGGCGAGTGTGCCCGTGTGTGTGTGTGTGTGTGTGTGTGTGTGTGTGTGTGTGTGTTCCTCAGCAACCCATGACGGCCAGATGACTAGGGAGTGTGAAAACAGGCGAACAGAAACCCCAAGCAGCAAGCCTGGAGCTGCATGCATGCCCTCGTCAAGGCGGAGGGCAGGACGAAGGCACCAGGCTCCACATCTGCAGGCTGCAGGCCTGTGGGGTCAGGCCCTGTGCTGCCTGTGGCTGTCTACCTAGAACGTAGTAATTACTCAATAAAGACTTGCTGGGTTATGCTGGGTAGAACTAAAAGCAACCCAACACGAGACTAAGCTAAACTAAAAGCTTCTAGTGTGTGCGTACTCCAGTCTCTAGACACTGCCTGAAAGCCTTCTCTGTGAAACAGCTAAACAGAACACAGGACGACATGGCTACTCAAACCTCCACAACCATGGCAGCAGGGTGCCGGGCCTGTGTGAGGCCCAGCCTGCACTGAGGTAGTTAGCCTTCACAGCACAGCTCTCAGAGGCACCATGGCCACCCCGGCCTCCGCTCGCTCCCCGTCAAAGTCTCTTTGCAAATGTCGGGCCCCTCAGCATGTGTACACAGCATTTATATGCTCTGCAACTCTCACGGCCTGTGTCCTCTCCACAAAAGACCTGACATGGAGATGATCGTCCCCCAACGGGAAACGGCAGGCTCACTCACTGCCTACAGCAAAAGTCCCTCATCACGCCTACGATCTCTTGACCCCTAAATATTATGTAATTATCGATGAATAAAAGTGTAACACCCGGGCAAGCGGAATCCAAAATGAATCTAGGTAAACAGTACTCAATCTTCCTTCCTCTGCCTGCCTGCCTGCCGGCCTGTCTGCCTCTGTCTCTCTCTCACACACTCACACACACATGCACACGCAAGGTATTTATGGAAACAGCTGTTGAAAATATCTGCTGAATTACGCCCCATTGGCTATTGGCTAACAGATCAATCCTTTCATCCAATTAAAAAGCTAGCAATAAAATTAAAAGCAATTAAACTTCAGCACCCCTATAAAAGAAACGTGTGTGGATGCTCTAACTTGCATACCTGAGGTATGATTGACATTTTCTTCCTTAAATCATGAAGTCCAATCTCAGTTGTCAAGATCTTGTCAATCCAGATTTTCCCTTCAGGCTCTGACAGTCTGAAGAGGGCTGAGATGAGGGAACTTTTTCCAGCGCCTGTCCTCCCCACGATTCCAACCTGTAAAGACATCCAGAGGAGGGATTAAATTAACCACATGTGGCTGACCTAGGCGGACATGTTCGTTTTCTAAGATGAGTTACGAAACTTCCTATTATTGCGTGTTGCCTAAAAGTTCCCCAGCCTCGGCTCTGCTGACCCGTGAGGTAGGGTAGCTCTTTGTGGTGGGTGACTTGGACCCTGGGGAGTCCTTTCTAGATCTCCATAGCAGCCTCCAAACTGTGACAACTAAAAACGTCAAGTCTTGGCAAATGTGCCCCAGGGTAAGATCCGGGCACAGAACTGTTAGGACTGTTAGGAATTAATCAATAGCATCCCTGGTCCCGTGATAAGAAGGGTTTTTTGTTTGGTTTGGTTTGGTTTTTTTCCTGAACATTACATCTGAGGTCCAGGCTAGAAGAATCTTGAGAGCTGCTTAGATAATTCCATAGAGGTATTAATGGCTCATTCCAGAAGTGAAATAATTTCAACCAGCGTCCTATCGTTTACAACGAATTCATCTTTGATAGAGAAATTAAATCGCTTGTGGTTATTAACTATCTGGTTATTCTGTGGTGAGAGAGAAAACACCTTCAGTTTTGCAAACGCAGGGCTCCATGTCTTGGAAGACAGCAGCAACCAGGAGCCCAAACATGCAAACTGCCATCAACGACGTCGCGCCACAAACAGTGTTTGCTATTTACACAGGGCCTTTCATCCGAGCAGTTCAAAAAGCATTTTACAAACCAATTAATACTTACAATCGCCCCTTGGGAAAGATTTGTGTGAAGAATCATTCCTCTATTAAAGTGAGAGCAGAGAGAGATGAAGCGTTCTGACAATAAGATCAAAGAGTCCATGTAAGGAAGCCGAATGCTGGTCAGGGGGGAGCAAATGTAAAAACTGGCTTTCAGGGACGTACGTCTAAACCCATGAGCAGAAAACCAGCCTCGTGTCCAGTAAGCTTGCTGGGCTTGTGAGAGTGTCCAAAGAGATGGCATCGATCGTCAAAAATCCGGAGCCAATGGACAGCAAAGATATGCTTTCTATCACGTGTAAATTAATTCAGTAAATTAAAAAGAACACACGTCACCATTTAAACAGGGAGGGACGTAACTCAACCACCTACGGGTTACATGCTGGGGATTTACACCTTATGTCGTTTGAAACAATCAGCAGCCCTTCAGAGAATTAGAGGTGGCTGTACGGAAGGTGGCTTCGTCCAAGCTTTATAATTCCCACCACAGCCAACTGCTGAGGGAACGCAAGGCCACATTAAAAACAAATAAAATAAACTCATCCCAATTAAAGACCAGTGCCATCAATATGGAGAGTTAATAAACACTAACCCTGCCTAGTTCGGCACTCTGACGGGATGAAGCTTCGTTCGTGGGTGCATGCGTGTGCTTGTCCATTCGTGTGCTGTGTGTTGCAAAGACACAGACTCGTTTAAACAATGCTGTGCTAGCTTACTATTTCATGTAAACATTTAAGGCGCACGAAATGCAGTGCAGGTGATTAGTTATTTAATACATCCCTTGCTTGTGGGTGTTTCAGCTGTTGACAAAATACTCTTGCTGTTATAAACGGCTTCATGTCAAATATCCTCGAGGCTACGCCTTTGCAAACAACCTTAATTATTTCCCTAAAATAAAACCTGAGGCACGGAACCCCTGAGCAACAGGTATATGTACTTCAAAAGCAGATGCTGAGCCCTGCCTCCAGGAGCAGGATCTTGGTCTCCACCGGTACCTACCGCCTGGTGCATCCCCAGCCAGACATTTGTTCTAATCAGCATCAGGCTGATCCTCAAAGGAGACCCACATTCTCCATCTGTGTCTCACTGGGGGCAGATGACCCTTGTTGGCGTCCCCTCCCAGATGCCACCTCTGACGCACAGCTCTGCTCCTGGTATCCCATCCAGGAAGCCTGTCTATGACACTCCTGACCAACTTGTCCACCCTTAGCCGCACAGGCTCTTCCGCAAGGTTCCTGCTCAAGAACCTGCATGTAACACACTTGGGTAGCACCCGCCTGGCAGGTAGGAATAAGTGTGATCATTCCTATCCAGGTGCCTTCCACACGCATTTCTACCTGCTGGTATCCCATGGTTTTCAAATGCCGAATACCACCAAACGCTCCCTCTGTCCCCCATGTGGCCATCTCCACTCCCAACAGATTCCCCCACGCCTTTCCTTTAAAGATCCACAAACTCCGTGACCGGCTAGCTTCAAGTAATCCAAGATCATTTGTTCAGGGCTACACTGGATTCTCCTGTATGTAGTTGCATTTTCCTGCCATGTTCCAAGGAAAAGAGGAATTCTACAGAGTTAACGGTTCATCCCAGCTTGAGATATTTCTGAAATTAGTCCCAAGATGCTCATGTTCCCAGGATGTAGGTCAGCGAGGACAGACCTGGCAGGTAAGCCCCACACTCATGACGAGGACAGCAAAGGGGACAGCCGCTCACTTCCACGTACCGTAAGTGGCTAAGTCACCTTACTCCTGGATAACGACAGCCAAATCTGATCACAAATTTACTGCGCCGGTCTCTGTGCTTGGGGTATTTATTGTAAAGGTGAGGCCCTATGACTCTTGGTTTTGGAAAACAGAAAAGTGAAGGATGTCAAGGACCTGTGAATCTATTGGGTAGACCCCAGCCTGTGGGACTAAAGCCCGGACCCACCTGTGTCTTACCCACTGTGTGGAGAGCTCCCTAGGGTTAGGTGCTGGGACAAGGTCAGGGTACTAGCTCAGCAAAAACGGTTACTCACAACTGGCGCCATGGCACAGGCTAAGAGAGAGGCCTGAGGCTGACGAATACCCTGGGTAAGAGAACAGAACTGGTGCGAAGTAATGTTTAAAAATATGTGTTAGGGGTTAGGGGTGTGACATGTGCCATGGCATGTGTGTGTTAGGGTTAGGGGGTGTGACATGTGCCATGGCATGTGTGTGTTAGGGTTAGGGGGTGTGACATGTGCCATGGCATGTGTGTTAGGGTTAGGGGTGTGACATGTGCCACAGCATGTGTGTGTTAGGGTTAGGGGGTGTGAATGTGCCATGGCATGTGTGTGTTAGGGTTAGGGGTGTGACATGTGCCACAGCATGTGTGTGTTAGGGTTAGGGGGTGTGACATGTGCCATGGCATGTGTGTTAGGGTTAGGGGGTTTGACATGTACCATGGCATGTGTGTTAGGGTTAGGGGTGTGACATGTGCCACAGCATGTGTGTGTTAGGGTTAGGGGGTGTGAATGTGCCATGGCATGTGTGTGTTAGGGTTAGGGGGTGTGACATGTGCCACAGCATGTGTGTGTTAGGGTTAGGGGTGTGACATGTGCATGGCATGTGTGTGTTAGGGTTAGGGGTGTGACATGTGCCACGGCATGTGTGTGGTCAGAGCACAACTTGCAAGAGGCTGTTCTCTCCTTCTACTGCCCGAATTCAGGGCTGGGACGGGGGCTGAACTCAGATCATCGGGCTGGACGCGCACCTTCATCTAGGAACTCTCTCACCTGCCCTCAGATTACTCTTTTATGCCACAAGGTAATGAAAAGAACTCAAGTCCGGCGGCTCTTGGTATGTAATAGAGACTGCTGGTAGGGAATGGCTGGACTGCAGGTGTAAACAGTCCGCGTCAGAGGTCACCGGGAGACAGACGCAAATCCACCCTCGTGTGAACATGCGATAAGAATCACAGTACTGCCTCAGGGACAGAGTTCAAAAGCAAAGAAATGCTGCAGGCCCACGCCTTCAGTCCTCCCTGAACGTGGGAGGCAGAGGCAGGCGGATCTCTGTGAGTTCAAGGCCAGCCTGGTCCATACAGACCAAGTTCCAGAAGAGCCAAGGCTACACAGAGAAGCACTGTCTTGAAAAAAAACAAAACACATGCGCTAGCAAGCATGCACACACGGCTCAGGATTCTACTCAAGACTCTCATGTGCTGTCCCAGAAGAGGGCGAGGTAACCCATGGCATCAATTTCAGGGTGTAAAAGAAAGTTTCATAGAAATCAAGGAAAATTGGTCATGAGATAGAATGCTTGGCTGGAGGGCTCACTGAAATGCCAGGTCTGGGCCAGCGGGCCCGTATTCCCACCGGGGTCCCAGAAAAGGGAGTAAGGCAGGGGCTCGGGAAGTGGGAGACGTAAGGCTCTCTGAGGAAACCTTATGTAAAGGGGGAGAAAAGGTAGAAAACTAATACCTTCGCACATTATAGCAAGGTCTAGCACACATCTGTAAAAATGTATTATCACAGTAATAGCTTTGAGCAAGAAAAAAAAAAAAAAAAAAAAGACAACAAACCCAAATCTAGAACTGGAAAATGCTTTCAAATGGCCCAGTACTCTCTCTCGGATGATCAAATCAACCACAAAATCACCTACCTGAAAAATGCAGCCAGTGTTTAGAAACTGACCTGGAGGCCAGGGCTACTAGTCATTTTTGTTCTTTCCAGAAATGAGGAACCAGGTCAGCAGCGATTACAGTCCCTTTTCTGTGACTTCCAGGGATCTCAGAGGAAGTCACTGAAAGGGAACACAGCTCGGTTTCTGCTGTGTTGGCACATTCCTATGGCCGGGCCTGAATCCAGCACGGAGAGGTGGCCGACAAAGCGGGTGTGGGAATAGATGGAATGAGGGGGAAGCCCATGATGCGGTTGCCTAGATGTAGGCAACTCCGAACGTGCATTAGCTAAGGCAACAGATTCCTGGGGTGGGGTAGGCTAGACACAAGTCAAAAATCGAGTTATTAGAGATAAAATTCAGCCTTCAAATTCAACTTCCTTTCCAACTTAGCATCGCATGTAATCCTATTATTTGGGGGTAGTTCTAGGATCTCAGAATGCAAGTCTGGGGCTATACGCTGTCTTCTAACTTGCTCAACAGAGTTCCTTACACAACTCATCTTCTGCGGCTCCCAGGGAAACTGAAGACATGTGCAATTTAGGAGAACGGCGCTTGCGACGTCAGATCTGATAAGCGTGCTGTCTGCAAGCAAGCAAACATCCTACAGAGCTGTCAGGACACCGTCGGAGAGAGATGCTTGGCTTTCATCAAAACTGCAGCCCATGTTTTACCCACCCCATCTTCAGACCTACAAGGGAGCCGTGGAAATAATTAGAACGGGCTCTTGCCAAGTGGCTTACTAAAGCTGCTCGTTGTACACCCGTTGGGCACCAGGTTGTACATTTAGTCTTTCATGTCACAAGGGTATCTATCGCTCATTAAATCACAGCTGTGATTAGGCCATTAAATTGGTTGAGAGTTTGAAAGGAGCAGCTTGGGAAGTATTTAACACTCCAGGGGCTGGGTTATGGCACAGTGGTAGAACACTTGCCTATCACGCGTAAACCCCTGGATTCAGTGCACGGACCCATAAATAAATAAAGGGAGTGGGAAGGGGGAGATTCCCCATGCCCGGTTAAGAAAGGCGCTGTTGACAGGGTGTTTTGTTAACGGTTTCTTCCTGCCTGCATACTGCTTCTCAGTCACCCAGTGTCCTCCTTATCGAGCGTGTGATGTTTGGCCTTCCCTTCCCCCACCCCACCTCCACCACCCAGAATGCCATGTCCTGGGGAAGAGGGAAGAGCATGGGCTGTTCCCTGACCTCCAGAGAAGCGCCAGGACACGGAGATACAGACGCAGAACTGAAAATCATGCCACAACACTCACACACCCTTACACATGAAAAGACAAACCTGTGGCAAAATACACAGGTGTATTTGTCTTAGTTACTCTGCCAAAAGAAAAACACCCCGACAGAAACGGAGAGAAAGGGTCTGTTTTGGCAGCCAAGGTTCCAGTTCACCATGAGCTGGCCGCGTTGCCTCCACAGAAACAGAGAGTAAAGATTACTTATCAAGCATCTTTTCCTTTTCTCCTTCCTACACAGTCTAAGATCCCAGCTCAGAGAATGGCGCCCCCCACAGTGGAGCAGGCTCCTTACCCAAACACACTAAGTAAGACATCCCCCCCCCAGGCATGCCTGTCTCCCAGGAGACCACAAATCTCATCACATTGACACCTAGATTGACTATCTTAACTACTTTATACACTTCCTAAATTGTGGGGAAAATAACATAAAATTCTCCATCATGGCTACTTTGAGCACACAGGTCAGCAGTGTTAAATAACCGTGCCCCTGACGAGGGAGAGACTAAGGGGTCATGGACTGGCTTCTTGGAGGAAAAAAGGCACAGCTAAAGGCCTGCACCAAAGGAGTCAACAGAGGGCAGTGGACACGGATGCCCCAGTTACAAGGATCCAGGGATGACACGACATAACATTAATTATTATGAATCGTTTGATATCAGATACATTACCTCTCAAGTATATTTAACTCTAGTCAGGTTAAATTCCAGACTAGTTTCCTCCTCAAACAGTAAGGACGCTTTGACAATAAATACATAAATAAATGCATAAATAAATAAATAAATAAACAAATAAATGATTATTGCATAATACTTCAGAACTGAAAAAGCTATAAGTGGAGATTGTTTTTAAGAAAGAAATATTAGTTTCCTACCACATGGTCCACTTCCAAAGAAGACTTATCCACATCCGCCCTGGACCGCCTTGCATCCAAGGGGGATCAGGGTCTTGCTGGCAGTGCCCCAGGGGAGTCAGCGTGCAGATGTGGCCCAAGTCTTCAGTGGAAACTCTAGGGGGACGGGATGGCTTAAACGCACCTTCTCTCTGGATTTGATGAGTGCCGTCAGGTGCTTGAGTACCAGGGGTCCATCTAAGCTGTAGGTGAAGTTCATGTTGTCAAACACAATCGTCCCTTCCTGGGGCCAGTCTGGGGGCGGGCGCTTCTGGTACTCCCAAGGAGCTTCCTTTTCTAGGTCTGTGTACTCAATCACCCTCTCCACAGAAATCATCTGAAAGAAAAGAAAGGCATCCACATGGGGCAGGGGCCAGGCGTGCTTGCTCGTGGAGACACCTCCACACAGCTGGGCAGGTCTGCTCGGTCTTTACATCTGCCAAGGCTATTGAGGGCCTTCACCACTTACAGTTTCACTCACCACCATGTGACCACCTTCACTTGTTACGGATAATCCCTTCAACCTTATAACACTAAGTAAAAACCAAGAGGAAGGGCGGGGGAGACGGCTGAGGGGGTAAACGGATGTGCACGCAAGTATGGAGACCTGGGTTTAGATCTCAGCACTTCTGTAAACAGAATCCTTGTTGCTGGTCCCACAGCCGCTTCAGCCCCAAATAAACACAGGGACGCTATACTAATTATAAAACCGTTGGCCGATGGCTAGGGCTTCTTCCTGGGTAGCTCTGTCTTAATTATTAACCCAGTAACTACTAATCTATGTATTTCTACATGGCCTTATCTTACCAGAGAATGCCTCGTGTGTACATGGCATCTTCTCCTGGTCCCTCTCTGCCTGCCTTTCCCAGAATTCTCCTCGTCTCCTAGCCCCGCCTATCTTCCTGCCTCTTCTGGCCAAACAGTGTTTCATTCATCCACCAACAAGAGAAACACAAATACAGACGGACTTCCCCCATCACAGCCTAAGCATGGTAGCATGGGTCTGAAACACAGTTGTTAGTGGGGCACAGACGGATGGACGGACGGACAGCAGGGCTCACCAGCTAGCCAGGCTTGCAGGAATGGTATCCTCCCAGTTCAGTGAGGACCAGATCTCAAAATATGAGGTGAAGGGCAAGTGAAAAGGATACCCTATGCAAACCTCCAGCACGCACAAACAACACTCACACACACATACACACACACGCAGACACACACACACACATTCAGACACAGCACACACACACAGACACAGCACACACACACACACTCACACACACACATTCACTCAGACACAGCACACATACACGCAGACACAGCACACACACACACACACACACGCAGACACAGCATACACACACACAGACACAGACACAGCACACACACACACTCACACACACAGACACAGCACACACAGACACATCATACACACACGCAGACATAGCACACACACACTCACAAGCAGACACACACACTAACACACGCAGACACAGCACACACACACACACAGACACAGCACACACTCACACACACGCAGACACAGCATACACACACTCACACACACACACTCACACACTCTCACACACACACTCACACACTCACATTCACTCACACACACCTTCCACAAATACAAAATTGAAAGGTTTCTTTTTTTTCAAACCAAGAATTTAAGACCTTAAGTCAATAATCTCTTGCTACAAAATGGCCACTCCAATTGAAGACCAATTATCTCATGCACCTTCAGTTCTCACTGTAAGGGTTTCTACTGTGCGAGAGAAGAGAAATGCAAGTATCTCACGCTGCTGACTGTTTATCTCCTCAGCGGGAATGAATATTTTGAAGAGGAAGCAATTCAAATGCTGATTAAACCCTCTGCTGTCGCCATAACTGCTGCCTTTGAGGAAAGCACATTAGAGGTGGGCGGGCTCTCGCCCACCAGACAGGACCAGCAGTGACCCTGGGCCTCCTGCCTTCTACTCCACACGTGGGAGATGCCGAAACCGGTGATAAACGTGTAGGAATGGGGGAGAGCTATTACTTAAACAAACAGTCTCAAAATACTGAATTCTTCTTTTACCAAGAACGAGGAATTACCCATTAAGAAACAAAAATAAACAGGCCTCTGAGAAATTAGCCCATATCCTCTCTCGGATTTCAGAACTCCCCTCCTACAGAGGCATTTATTACATTTGAAGACAGCTTGTGCTGAATCTAAAACCTGCTGACAGAGCATACATAAGACAGAGAAAAAGATGTATACATTTTATTTTACATTAACAGTAAACAGATGGAATCGGGACCTTTAAAAAAAAAAAAAAAAAACACTCAGCTAGCTATGATGCAAAAATAACAGTTTTAATATTTTACATAAGAACTGCTTTTATGTCATTTAATGGCAAAGGGGACTTTAAAAGGCTGGGAATTCTCAGATAAACATTACCATATTCTCCACTTCGGCACTCTGGCGCACAGACCACTGGAACATCCCCATGAGCGTGAGGGCATAGGATAAGGCCAAGCCAACTTGTCCAGCATCCAATGCTTTTCGGGGAGAGAGGAGAGAGGACAGTCAGTCTCTGGAGTAACCTGAGCCTGCTGCTTTCTGCTGCCTTACCAAGAGGACCCAACAGGCTGCATACAACAAAAGTAATCTTCACATTTCTATTTATTGACTGAGATCATGATGCGATTTTAGGAGCCCATTACGAATGCCTTGCAAGACTATCGGATGAGTTTATTAATGTCCATAAGACCGACACACGTTTTGAGGAAAGGCATTGTGTGTGTGAGGCGCAGTGCTATTATTGAGGCTTGTCATTATGGCTTAAAGCCTGTTACGTAATCCTGCCGTCTGTGTCCCATGTAACCGCAGTTGGAAACCACTGCAAACAAGATGATGTGTTAATAGGAGTCAATGCTTTTGAAAGTAAAATATGACTCCCATTGTTCTATTAATAAACACTGTAATTCAGTGGTGTCGTGGTAAAGGCTCAGACATGGAGAATTCATGACACACGTGCGAACACCTGCTCCTCTGGTGCCCACCAGCAGTGAGCACAGCGTTCCTTCCCGGTCGGTACCTCTCTCGCCCGCGTGCAGGGACATCAACAAATCAGGAAGCACCAAGGCTCAAATATCGAGCTCCAATCTGGACAAAATGTTAACAGGGAACCTGGGTCTCATCCCCTGGCTACCAACCCGATCAGCGATTCCCAGGATGCCGTGGTACCGCCCTCAGCTTGTTCTAACAAAGATAAAAAGGACTTATCCAGACTCTCTTACTGGGCCCTGCTGCATGACCGTGCCCACCCTGACATGCTGTAAAAGCTTTAACACACTTTATTAGAACCACACAGAACGCGCCATTAGACAAGGTGGCAGGAGTTTAATTCAATGCCTCTAAACACAGCTATGAACTGTAATCATACCGTAAATAGTTATTCGCATCTGCACTCACTTTTTGCCAGGATCAGGGACCCAAAGGCAACGACGATGACAAAAACAGCACAGATGGCATCCAGACGCACGGCAAACCATCTCGATGTCGTCAAAAACAAGAACCAAGCCTCTGGATTTGTGAACCATAGTAAACATGGTGAGTAATCACAGAAACCACACTAACTGCAGTGAGTGTGACGGACAGAGATGTTGAGGCGGAGTAGGGCAGCATGGTCGCACACTCAACACTTCTAGAAAGCAGGAAATGCAAAGCAGTGCATGACACGCACCCCGGACGGCACAGAGGCTTTGCAAAAAAGAACGGAAAGATACAGTTAAGAGGTAACGGACATTATATAAAGCCCACCAGCTTATAGGTTGACTGTTTCCAGTTCTACAGCAAAAGACACAGCTCCCAATTTGCCTCTAACACTTACTTCCCTTCCTTGAGCGTTCTGCACACACTGGGGTTGGGGATGGCACACAGCTTAGGTAGGGGCTGTATCTAAATGACTAGTGTGCTAAAAGGAGCCTCGTGTAGTTTTTAAAGTGCCCCGGAGTCATCAAAACAGCAAAGATGGGGTAGAGGTTACAGACTTGAGGGAAATTCTGGGAGGAAAGAGCTCACACAAAATAATAAGTGGGCGGTGGCCATCAGTCATATCTGTTACCCTGTGTGCATTAACTGGATAATGGTTAGCATCTATGATCCATGGGCCAAGAACACCAGTTGAGTGGATAGCATCTATGGTCCATGGGCCAAGAAGGGTCCATCACTTGTCCATAAAAACCAAGTTTTCCTGGAGCACAGCCACAGCCCATGCTGAGGCATTGCTGGTACCAGCAAAGCAAGAAATTGCAGCAGGGACAGGACAGAACTCACTGTAGGAAACATTTGCCAGGGAGTCTTTTGCAAAATATGTCTGCTGACTGAGCCCCTGAACAGACAGAGGTGGCAGGATTGGGCAAGGCCATCAGACGGAAGCCAGACACGAGGAGAGACTGACAGTGTTCGGAGCCCCAGAGCAGACGGAGGAGGCAGGAGTCCGGGAGCAGGCAGAGGTGGCGGCCGACAGAGCCAATCGCCTACGGGCATCAACTCCGAGGCAACGGCAGCTGCCAGCTTTTGAAACCGCTCCCAGAAACGTACAGACCTGAATGCAAGTCTTGGTGTGCGTCAAACAGCTCCTGGAACCTGTCCTCGGCTCTGTAGGCCCGTATGGTCCAGAGCCCCTGGAGGGAAGAGGACAGGTGGGAAAACACAGGGCTCCGTGCTGTGGAGACAAGGAACACGGGGCTTGCGCTCAGCTCTGTACACCCTCACCTCTGTTAGTAGGTCTGAGTCACCACTGGGCCTCGATGGCTGAGGTACCTCTGTAAGAGTTCTTTTTGGTCACTCTGTCTGATTTCCAGTGCACTTTGAATCTGAGCACACGAGTACAGTTTGAAACACCCTCCCCAATTTCCTGTAAGCTGTTCCTCTGTCTCTTCCGGAGCCTTCCAGAAAAGAGAACTTCCCTGATGACGTCCTTTGACGTTAGCTCCGACCCATGTGGAGATATGTTATTTATCAGAAAATACGTCTTGTGTGCCTTCTCTACCGGTGGGTGTGAGGAGGTACGTGGTGAGCGTCAGAGGAGAGTATTAGTCTACACAGAGCATCTACCCCTTTCTCAGGGTAAGTAAGCTGCAAGGTCAGACTTGGGAAGTCACCTGCTCTGCACCGCATAAGGGCCACAGTGACCCCTGATGGCTGTAATAGCCATGTTCAGTTGCTGACCACGTAAGAACTGTTGGAGCATGGCCAGTCTAGAAACTCATGGGTCTCCTCAATTACACTTCACCTTTACTACGGAAGCTGGATGCACTTACCACACCCACCCAAGGACCTCGGTACTCACTTGTGGACTCGAGGCGCTTGACATCCCTCGACGTTTCTAAGAAATACCTCCGAAGAACCAAGAAGATGATGGCGAGCGGGAGCAAGGGTATTATAATCCAGGGGATCACTGCAGCCGCTACTGATATCACACTTACTACGAGTAACAGGGTCTGGAATGGCGAACACAGACAGGCAGGTGTCCTAAGCAAGAAGTTTTGCTTTTCAAAGAGCATCATGGTGCTGATGCTACTGTTAACATACTATTAACATGCCTACCCCCAGCCCTGAATGCTTTAGATTTCTTCTTCTGACACCTTCATTAGCACAGCCAATAAAGCACAGAAGCTGAGCCCAGCTTCCCAACAACTATGCTAAAAGCTTGGTGTGGTGTTCATGCCTGTAATCCTAGGGCTAAGAAGGTGGGGACAGGGGTGGGTTCCTGGGGTTTGCTTAATCAGTGTGAGCTCCAGGTTCAATGGGAGACTCTGTCTCTAAAAATTAGGTGGTAAGTGATTGATGAAGTGCACACACACACACACACACACACACACACACACACACACACACACACACACGGGGGGGCGGACAAAGATTCATATTGAAATTAAATATGTAAATACACTACTTTTCATTATTTCCCTGTAGGGTGAATTCTGGTTGGTCTTAATAATAAAAACACCGAGTCAGATATTGCTAGCAGTTAATGCTGGAAGATCAGAGAAGCAGAACATCCAGCCCCTAGTTCTTACCTCTATCGAATCTCCAGATCAAAGGGACGATCCTGTCCCTCTGAACCCTCAGACTTAACCCTGTCTGTATGGAACCTCAGACTGAATGCTCTGGGCTCCTGCCTCCTCCTGCTTATATTCCTCTCTCTGCCCAGCTCTATCACGCCCGTCTCCTCCACCTCCCTAGTGCTGGGATTAAAGGTGTGAGCCACCACTGCTATGGCTCCTTAGTGGCTAGCTCTGCACTCTGATCTTCAGACAAGCTTTATTTGCTAATGCACAAACAAACAGCCCCTTTATCAGCATTATTAAGCTTCAATGGGTTTCTTATGGTTATACCAGCCTCCTGCATGGTGACTGGTTCTTGGTCCCAGCTGATAAGAGACAAACACCCTGTCCAGCTCAGGAAACAGCAAAAGTCTAAAAAGTTCAAAGGTGCTTGCTGACACAGTATACTGATTCTTGACAATTAGGCAAATGCTTTTTTTAAGTTAAAATATGAAATTTTATAGGAAAAATTACCTTAAATCCTCCAAAGTGGCTTACAGAAAAACGAGTAAACTTAATCCTACCAAATATGTAAAATCTCAGAACACAAAATGAAAGTTGGCTATTTTACATTTTGTGTACCTAAGCGTAACAGTGGTAAACCCCACCGAATCTCCGGAGAAGTATTTACTTTAAGGTAGCACTTAACAGTAACTTCAACCCTTGGGAGGCTTAGACAGTAGGAACTCCATGAGTCTGAGGCTAGCCTGGGCTACAATGTTATTTCCAGGCCAGCCTGGGCTGCACAGACCCTGCCTCTAAAAGCAAATGAATACAACTAGAACAAAAGATACGTAAGTTTCCTTTAGAACACCAGATTTTAATAATACAGATTATAAAGCTACTTTCTTCACAGAAAAACGTTTTAACACAAGGACCTGTTTGGGTTTTTGGTATTTGTCTTCCCAACTGCTTTCCTTCTGGGGATGTTCCTAGGCATCTACCCGCAGTTTACTTTAAACGTAACCCCATGGGTCTCTGTTGGTCTATAGGATATGTGTGCCAAAGAGTATGTTTCCTATAAACAGTAGTAAAATTGTAGTCTAATTTTTATCTGAACCATCATGCCGTGTATACTTCTGGCTCGCTCCATTTCTTATTTGAATGCTGTCTCATACCTGTCTCAGGCACAGAGTTAAAAATACATGTTTACTCATGGTGCTACTTAATCAGCACACGGTACTTTTTTGCTATTTGTTTTCTAAAAATAAAACCAGGCTCAAATTGCTCACACGTCAGAGCAACGGGAGAGCTTTGAGTTCTGCGGTCAGTGTGACTGCAGAATGTGTGCAGGAAGCCCGGACTGCCTTCCGCTCTCATGACTCTGTGGAAGGTAAGTCTTAAGTGCAGTTAGCAAATCGGGCTTCACTTCTCGGCAAGATCTCCCTCTGCTTCAGCAAGGGAAAAAAGCAATGGCCGTGATTTGATCACTGAGCTGTTTACCGATGTGTGTTTAAAAGGGAGTCTTCACCTACTATTCTGGGAACATGAGAGACAAAAGAAATTAATCCCGGAGTGAAAAAAAAAAAAAAAATAGCACACCAAATCGTGCTGCTGGGCAACACGGGGTTCTCAGACAGGCATGAAAAGCTTGAACAGCGCATAGACTTTGGAAAGCATTGAGAGTTGAACAAGTAATTCAGATTATTGCTCAGGCTAGATTCATCACCATCCAGCTATTGGATGTGCCCAAGCAAAGGGGAAGTTCTAAGAGTTTTGCGTGTGAGCCCCTGCGCCTTAAAAGCTGCATCTGAAGTCCATCCGTAGGGACAAATATACACAAAACTGAGCCCTGTGTGCTGTCAGCTCCGGCTCTTAGGTGTAACCTCTATTATTACAGAGCCCCCCCCCCCCACCCTGGGGCCTCTTCAACACCTATCTTCTGACCTCTGCTAGCAGCCGTTTCTGTGAAGGCAGGCCTCTGCGGCACACTGGCACGTCCGATTTGCATGTAGCATTCTACACAAGTCTCTCTAAGACGCAGCTTTTAGGTTGGCAGAAAGTCATCGCTACGTCCGCATGCCCGCTGACTGATGTGACCGGTTCACATTCACAGCAGCTCTGGGTCCCATGCCACTGGTCTGTTGGCTCTGTACTCTAAGTCAAAGCTAACAGCATTGACAAGAATGGCTTGTGGGTTATAATCTGTGTACTGATTGAAAAGTTCCCTGTTGGCCTTACCCATTGTTGGTGCTCACTTAAAACCCTAGGCTTCAACCTACAGACTACACTTTGGATACAAGTTAAAAATAAGATTACGTAACGGTAAACATGCTGAACAAAAAGGCTGTCACTGCCACTGTGAACACCAAAGCTTTTAGTTCACGATCTCACAAAGGAAAAATATTTCATCAGTTAAAAAAAAAAAAAAGAAAAAGGTCAGGGCTGGAGAGATGGCTCAGGGGTTAAGAGCACTTCCTGCTCTTAAAGAGGATTGAGGTTTGGTTTCCAGAAACTGGCCTGAGCCGCCTGCAATTCCATCTCCAGGGGGTCCGATGTCCCCTTCTGGCCTCCACAGGCACTGCACCCATATGTGCCTAGACATCCACAAACACACAAAAACAAAACAAGTCTTAAAAAAAAAAGAAAAGAAAAGAAAGAAAAAAGAAGAAAAGCTTGGTCAAATTATCCAGGAGACAAACACAAATCAACACATACAAACCTAAAAACAGCTTCAGAATGTAAAAGCAAAATCTGACAGTATTTAGAAAAACCCAGACATACAAAATTAGACATGTTTATTTCAACAACTAATAGAACAAACGAACAACAACAAATGGGAATATAGGAGTCTATGATGGCATGGGCCAGGTCTTATGAAGTACAATTCTGCCACACCATCACGCTTGTACCACAGACTTCAATGACCACAGTGCAGAATGTATCTGACTTTAGTGGATTAACAATCACACAGAAAACAAGGAGACCATCAGGAGGCCCCTTCACGGCTCCAAAAACGGCGGCTTTACTAAGACACGATGAAATGAGGGGCCTTTGAAAAGGAGATGGAAATCAGGCATGGTCAAAATCTCAGAGCTGCATCGGATGCTACGTCTGGAGGGAAATGTATCGCTTTAACCTTGTTTTTTCTTAAATAAGGAACTCTAAATACCAGAAACTAGATCTTAAGATAGAAAGGAGGCTAGGGAGGTGGCTCAGTGGCTAGCAGCACCTTGTTGCTTTTGGGGGACCATGGTGTAATTCCCAACACTCACACAGTGGCACACCACCATCCATGACTCCAGGTCCAGGCCACGTGACATCTACTTCTGACCTCCCCATGCATCAAGAGCTCAACTGGTGCACATACATAAATGTAGGCAAGGTACTATATACATAAGATAAAGACAAATAAACTAAAGATCAGCCTGGCTAACATGACCTGATATGATCTCCCTCACTTGACATTAACCAGTTATAAGCAGCAATCAAATTTCCAAACTACCCTTGAACCAACACCGTGGTTTCTGTTTGAGTAAACAATCTGGATCGGGACCTCCATCAAGCCGAGCTGACACATGAAACTGACTATCTCAAGCTGAAGTCCCCTGCTAACTCTTTCCTTTCCTGAGGTCAGCATAACTCTGATACCAGACACTTAGAAAATATCACAGGAGATGTAAAATACAGACCCAGGTCTACACAACAGATACAAGGTTAAGTCAACCCACGATGCACCAGGGTGACCTTCTAGAGAATGAACATGCTTGAAGAAACTCAAAAATCCTTAGTCAAAATTCAACACCTAGTTTTAATTTAAAATATTTTACACTTTTATCAAATTAAGAATTGAGTCTTTCCCAGTCTGGCAACACATACCCACTTCAACACAAAACAACCCCCCCCACCAATACACAGCTACAGCTAACATCCCTGTCAAAAACAAAACAAAACCCCTGAAAACAACCCCCCCCAAAAAAGTGTAAGGTCTAATCCAGTGGTTCCCAACCTGTGGGTCAAAACCCTGTTTGGGAGTAAAATGACTCTTTCACGGGGGTCGCATATGAGATGCTTACATTACAATGCACAACAACACCAAAATTACAGGTATGAAGTTTCTAAGAAATAGTGCTATGTCGGGAGTCACCATAACATGAGGAACTGTACTAAAGGGTCCGAGCGTCAGGGAGGCGGGAATCGATTCTGCTCAGCAAACACATTAGAAGCTCCAGCCACAGCAATAAGTCAAGAAAAGTTATAAGTAAAGGAAAGGGTAAAATAAAACTCCCCTCTCTCTCTCTCTCCAATAAATTGACCACAACAAGGTTTTAAGAATAAGTTTATATATATATTTAAAAAAAAAAAGCAAGAGATTTGAACCAAAAAATTCACACACAAAGTTCTAAAGGGCTGATAAACATGCCCCCCAAAACCTCAGTGTCATTAACCATCAC